GTTACATGAATTATTTGTAACATATTTGATACAGATCTTTTTTTGCAGTTTATGTGTGTATATTTTGAAGGAAACTAATCATATTTCAGTGGAGGAGTTGGTTGTTCAGGTTGTCACACCTGCAGATGTAAGGCATCACGTTTTTATGCGTGTTGAAGGGAAGGCTCTTGCATCGGATGGAATAACTCTACACAATATCAAAGAAGGGGGGCCAGCTGTTGTCTGAAAATTCGCAAAGCTTTTTACGAATCCATGCGACCACGGGGAGAACATGCAATCTCTAAATATACAGGCGTCGGGGTTGTGATCGAACCCACAACCTCCTGTATTCCAGATGAGGCAGTTATCTCGCCACCGCAGCGTCCTCTTCAATTTCATTCAGCAGTGGATAAAACACGATGATATCAAAAGGGTTCATCAGCATTACCGTACATAACCATTTGTGACCAGCATCTTGCATAGCGGCGCCCCGTTCAAAAATGTTACCCGCGTACGTAGCCCATCCTCGTTGGTGCTCGCTATAACTGCACTTGGCCCTGCAGTCAGTAAGCTTTAAACAGACGCTCGTTATTACGTGTGTGTTTGCCCTAAAGCTCATTTGAATGAGGTTTAACAAGCCAGCCGACCATCGAACTGGCTAATCTGGCCCTTCCAGACCGCCTTTGCCCTGCCCGGCCCCACCCAGCCACCTTATAACGCCCTCTACCCCGAGCACAACTTCCATCCACGCTCGCAAACAGGAAACATGCTGCGGCTCTCTCTCTCATGACGCTGCGCCCATCGCCGAAGAGCAGCGCGTGCTGGAGGGGGTAACGTGGGGAGCTTGAAGGCGCAGTTGCGCGTTCGCCCCCCAAGCTGCAGTTTCGTGGGAACGTCTGTGTTTGTGAGTGATGGAACGGACAGACGGACGGCCGCACTGATGGACGGTTAGACACAACGGACCAACGTTTTGAGATATGACCGAGCAGATGGGTGAACTGACGGCGAGAGCTGTTAGTGAGAGTGACGAACGCATGTTTTGCCTGACATGTATGTCTGCGTGTATTCAACAATATACAAACGTGTTTGGTTTGTGGTCCTTGCCGTGCTTCACCGATTGGCACGGTTGGCTACGTATGGTGCGAAAGAAGTTCAACATAATACAGCATATTTGAGGAACTGACAGATGAATTTACAGACTGATGGCATGTTAGTCGGACAAATTAACTAATTTTCTAGATCAACTGCCAGACACACGTGTGAACTGACAGGCAGAAGAACAAACAGTTCTATGCACTCATAGACATATCGATGAAGAGTGAGACGGAGCAATTGGACAGCTTGATGGAGGATTGAATTGTCAGAGGCTGGGTTTAACTGATGGTGGTGATAATGATTATGATTGTTTGCAAGGGTGATATTGTGATGATGATGTGATTTATAGTATTGCGATGTGTATGATGATTGTAGTGATGTTATGATGATGACGATTTTAAATGACATTGATAATTGTGATCGGCGTATTTTGTTGATGTGAAGATGTAAACGATGATGCTGATCACATTACTGTGATGATGATGATGAAGAAGAGTGGGGAAAATAAGGGGTGAGGTGTGCATGCAAGGTGAGAGTCCAGAGTTTGCCTCCCCAAATAACTACCTACAGGTTGGAAACAGATAAATCACCTGCAGCGTTTAGACGGATAAGTTGCGTTTTTAAGACCGATACGTCGCCTGCACGGCGAACACAAAGTACGTCAGCTGCAACATCAAGACCGATAAGTCACTTGCGTCGTGAAGACAAATAAATCACCTGCAGCGTTAAAGCAGATAAGTCACTTGGGTCGTTAAGACGGATAAGGCAGGCTCACAATACCCGGGGGGTAATGTCCAAATACATGGACAGATGATAGGGCAAGTATCAGTTACATAAAGCAAGGCAAATGCAACATTACCTGGCCTATTTAAATCAATGTCCGTTAACGGAGATTTTCATCTCGAGTGTCTCATTGCAACTGCCACTGTAATGATTTTGAGAATAGAATCGATGCCGAGGATGCCAATGATTTCACGGTTGGATAGGGTAAGCATTTTGAACTTTCAGAAACGGAACGTTGCAGATGTAACCGCTGGGGGGGAAAAAATTAACCCGTAAAAACAAAGTTTTTCACTATAAATCCTTTATATGCGTGGCAGCTAGAGTCCTCTCGTCCTCTGGCTTGAGATGGCTGCCACCTATGGGTCAGATGAATGGCTGCCACCATTAAGCAATTGGTAATTAAATATAATTTATTTTTTCCTAAAAAGTGTAAAATTTTGGAGAAAAAAAATTCACGAAAATACATTGTCACGCACAACGAGTCTGTGTGCAAAATGGATCACGGGAAGTGGGTTAAAAAACGACCGAAAGATTTGCACGGTCGTAAGCAAGCAAGTGAACTTAATATAAAGGATTTAAAAAGAGGTTGCGATGAGTGGGATACGGCGTGTGTGCATCGTGGAGGAGGCCAGGTTACTGAGATGGGCAGGTTGGAGTGGCACTCAGAGGTTGCTAATCACGAGTTGGATGACTCTCTAAAGAGTGGTCCTTGAAGAATGGCTGATGATTGTCTAACAGAGGGCAAGACTTTATTATTATTACTCCGACACTTATTTACCCAGGAAATCCTCGCCGAGTCTCATGACTCCTGCCAACCTTTCTCAGTAGCAGGCAATGATTTGTAAGTATATCTCCCAATTCAATTGTGGGTAGATATTGCTTTCTTCAAATTTGGACCACGACACCAAAACACAATGGCCCACTCTTGCGAATGACGTGACGGGATCTTTAATGTCTACTGTGCGGCAGACGGCACGAGTATTGTTATATGGTTTAACACGTAGGAGGCTTTCGTGACCAACATCCACAATACAGGGTTTTTTGGGTTAGATCACGTAAATATATTAATGTGTTGTTGAAACCCGCCACCACTCGACACAGCCAATTAGTAATTACAAACTAGCTAGTTTTAATTACTGGCGAAACGTCGTACTCAGATTGGAAATGTTGTGGCTTTGCTCTCCAACACACCGGTTAGTGCTGTACTAGTAATGTATTGGCACCTTCTGTTTACGTGACAAACCTTACTAATTGGCTGTGTGGGGTGGTGGTGGATTTAACGACACGTTAATATATTTACGCGATCTAACCCAAAAATAACCTGTATTATTGTTATCCGGTTCGGACACCCGCAGCAGTTGGATTCGAACCGTGAACGAGCGGCGAAGGGCTCTCCTGCTAGGCCGTGCAACCGCCGTTAAGGAAAATGCTGACGATGAGACTTCTAAGTGCAGGCTCCGGAGGGTTGAGTTGTCGATTGTTGAACTGCTGGCCGGCTCTGGCAATAAAGAAGTAGGCAACGGCAAAGTGTGGGGGACTTCAAAGGCGTTGGGCATAAAAAAAAAGTTTTAACTCTGTTTTGTACGAGCACTGAGCTTTGTTAAAATGAGATTTTTTTTTTTTTAGAAATAGACTGCGAATGTTGCATTGCTATATGTAAACATTTGCAAATGCGTGCATCAGCTGTATTTGCAAGTGTGCAAATACACTTGCACACCAGGGTCACTGGCACCAGTGTACGCAGAGGGGCTTGTCCCGGTGTGACCTTTGCTTCTTGATCAAGGTGGTGGTGAGATGGCAACGACCTCGCCTGGTTTGCTGGATGGTCGGGGGTTCGATCCCGACCCCGACGCCTATATATTTCGAGTTTGCATGTTCTCCCCGTGGTCGCGTGGATTTTTCTCCAGGGTCCTCCGGTCTTTCCCCTCCACATTTCGAAACTCTGCGTTTAGATTGTTTAGATTATTTGGCTGCTATGCATTTTGAAATGATAAGCCACTTCGTTGAGCTATCATTTGTGGCCAGGTCGCCAACAGCTGCATGGGCCCTACCTGGTAAAATAAAAAATTTCAGTTTTATTTGAATATTTTTTTGTGATTTGCCTACTTTTCCTATACTTTGCACTCCTGACATGTTTTTATATTCTTCGTTGTAATGTTCTGACCCGTCCCTTACTAGACGTCTGTGAAAAAAAGAGCTTCATAGCTCATCGGATTCCTCCAGTATAAATAAATATTCTTATTCTGGAGTGACAGGCAAAACTGGCTTTGATTGCGTCGTGCGATGAATCTATCGCGGTCGTTTGCAAAAAGATGTCCAGCAAGTAATTTGCAACGAACCGGTCGCTCCATTCAAGATCCAGGATGGTCATGTCTATGCGCTGCTTCTCGGTGGCAGCCCCGACAGTCTGGAACGCCGTCCCTCTACACATTCGCAGCATCACCTCAATCGCCTCCTTCAAGAGACACTTAAAAACTCACCTCTATAATCATGCTTTCGTGCGACTCTGAGCTTGGCTCCGCGCCTCTGAGTTGCGGCCGTTACGTCCGCAAATTTGCGCTCGTTATAAATTGCATTATTTTATTTTACCGCTGTCCAGATGATGCCTTGAATTCGCACAAAGCGGCTTGCATTCTAGAAAAGGGAACTTGTATAATTTCTGTGCACATGTAGCTCACAGGTGCGCTTTTGAGGCCGCACGAAGTGGTGAAAGCTTGCTGGCAGGTGATCACAAGGATTGCCCCAGGTCTTGCGGTTTAACTCAACTGGCAGATGCATCCCCTGTGCTCCCCCACTGCCCCCATATCGCTTTGTTTTTAGCCGCCCAGCACTCTGCTCATTGATATCACTGCTGTGCTCCTCAACAACACAAACAATGCTCTCTGTCGTCCTAAATGAATTGCCTGTACACAGACTAACCACTATTACCGCTCACCGGCAAGTGCAGTCGGTGCAATGTCCTTCCGTACCACATTGTCTCATCTCTACTCGCGCTCTTCCTCTGACTTCTTAGCCAAACAGGAGCTGCCCTGGGAGTGTGGTGACTGGGCATGGGGGACACATGTTGAGACTGTGTGACAAAGGAATTTCAGCTGACATGTACCTATATGGTGTCGTTCCCTCTCTGTCTATGTATCCTGCAGATTATCACGCCTTTCCGTCGGCTTATCCTTTGTGCCGAGAATCGTAAGGAGATGGAAGATTGGATCGCGGCGCTAAAGTCTGTACAGAATCGAGACCCTTACGAAGTGAGTGCTTCCTGGTGAACGATTTCAAGATCGGCCTTTACATCATCAAGATTCATTCATGGACTCGCCTCTCTCTACCTCTCTCCTCTCATCTCACTCTACTCCCTTCCACACACTCTCCCGCCTCTCCCCTCTCATCTCACTCTACTCCCTTCCACGCACTCTCCTGCCTCTCCCCTCTCATCTCACTCTACTCCCCTCCACGCACTCTCCTACCTCTCTCCTCTCATCTCACTCTACCCCCCTCTCCACGCACTCTCCTACCTCTCCCCTCTCATCTCACTCTACTCCCCTCCACGCACTCTCCTGCCTCTCCCCTCTCATCTCTCTCCCCTCCACGCACTCTCCTACCTCTCCCCTCTCATCTCACTCTTAGTTTTTCACATGGCCACATTTCCCCCTGCGCCCCGCCTCCACCCTCCCCTACCCCCGTTCTCCCGTGAAAAACTTGGCAGGACCCTCCTGAAAAAGTGGCTTGAGCTTCGGGAAGGCTTTCTTTCCTGGGTAACGTTCGTAGAGATAGTAGCGACGAATCTCTGCGCGTGTGGTGTCGCCCCCCCCCCGCCAGCCGTCCCAGCTCAGCATGGATCACTTCTCGGGACTGCACAACTGGTACGCGTGTTCCCACGCGCGCCCCACCTACTGCAACGTGTGTCGTGAGGCTCTGTCTGGGGTCACGTCACACGGCCTGTCGTGCGAGGGTACGTGCGCACACACACACCTACACACGTCTATACAGACACCGTGTGTGTATGCACACGCACGTGCACGTATGCACACACACACGCACACCATGTGTAGGTAAGCACACACACCTACAAACACAACAACCGCCGTTCGCCACTAAGCGGCGGTGACAACACCACGGCGCTTGTGCCACGCTAGGTGTCCATTGAGGCCACGTGAAGTGTCGAAGGCCCGCTGGCAGGGGGTTACGTAACAACAACAACCGCCATTCGCCACTAAGTGGCAGTGACGTCACCACGACGCTTGTGCCAGGCTATGTGCACCTTGAGGCCACTTGAAGTGTCGAACGTAACACATTCACACACCATGTGTAGGCACGTACGCACGCGTGCACACACTCCTGCATGCACGCACACTCGCACTGATCTACATGCACACACACGCTTAGTGGCGTGTGTGCGTATTTGCCTACAAACACCGTGTGTAGGAAAACACGCACACGTGTGTAGGCATGTATGCACGCATTGACAAGAGACATGCATACACTGACACTCGATGCACAATGAACCCAATACATACACATACACACTCAGACGTGGCCTGTTCTGCGAGGGTGCTTACAGACACAACAACCGCAATCACCATTCTTTGCTGAGCTGGCGGTCATGACACAACAACACAGCGCTTGTGCCAGGTTAGATACACTTTTAGGCCGATCTTGATATCACCAGTACCAGTTGTCAGCAAATCTAATCAGCTCAAAGTCCTCTGGCATCACATCAACCCGACTCTTCTCTAGCCCATGCCTCCTCTATCCACTTGAACATAAGCTGTTTACGCATGCGGTGGCAGGGCATTTGGGCTACATGACCCAGCTAATGCATCCTCACCTGGGACCGTGTCCGAATGTTTTAAGGATCCGTGAGTCACTCGCATGATCCAACCAGGTTAAACCCAGAGCGGAGCATAGGCAGGCCCAGCCTGAACAGTTTTTCAATTTTTCATGTTTTTCATGTACACATCCACATACCCACACGTGCATGTGAAAACAGACATACTCGATTTAAAGCTTTCGTGACTGCAGGGATTCATCTTCTTGGTTCTTTCGGTAAAGTCACGTAGAAGGGAAATAATAAAATAATAAAACATTAAATCACGTAGAAGGGAAATAATAAAATAATTATGAAACATTCTATCTTTATTATTTTCCTTCTACGTGACTTTACCGAAAGAACCAAGAAGATAAACACACATACTCGCTCACATTCTCACGCCCCCATTGCGTGTGCAGTCTGTAAGTTCAAGGCGCACAAGCGATGTGCTGTCCGCGCCACCAACAACTGCAAGTGGACAACGCTGGCATCTATCGGACGAGATATACTGGAGGATGAGGACGGGGTGAGTGATGTCCCTGCCCAACAAACACATCCTGAGTCACGGACGCATACGATCACATATACACAGAGACAACAAAAACAACTGCCATGTGCCGCCACTAAGTGACGTCACCACAGCACTTGTGCCAGGCTAGGTGCCCTTCGATCCCACTGAAGTGTCAAAGGTTTGCTGAGAGGATGTCTCACGGCACTGACCCTGTTGTTATGGGTTCACGGACTGAGATGACTGGCAGATGGCACTCCCTGTGCCCTCCACTCTGCCAACTTTGTGTTTTATCTGCCTCACACCCTGCTCATTTTTATAAGCTTTGCTCCTCCACCCTCTGTTATTGTTGGAGAGAAATTGCCTCCAAATGCATAGTAGCATATTTCATGAACCTCCTAGACAGAGGCCAATCTTGACACTGCTGGTACCAATCATTGGTAAGTTCACTCCAGTCCACATTCTCCCATACCACATCGGCCGGTCCTCTTCTTTAGCCGATGCTGGGCCCATTACGCTTCTGTCAAGCAAGAGAGAAGCTGCTTGGGCATGCAGTGGCTGGGCTTGCGGGCTACGTTACCAAGCCAACGCAATTTCGCCTACAGGAGGAGCTCACTTAATAGACTGTCCAGATCTTTCAAGGATCTGTGAGCTACTTACTCAATCCAGTCTCGTTAAACCCACGATTGATCGTAGACAGACCAGACTGCATATTTCGAGCTGATGACACACGTGGAGGTGGTGTGGCCAGAAGAGTGCCTGGCCATATTTATCTCCCTCAATGTTGATGTTTAATACACTCTACCAGGTACTCGATTTAAGTTGAACGACAAGCGGCCTGGGACTGCTTTCAGATGCCACTTGCCACCTATGCTAGCATTGACCAGCAACAGCCCCATAGAAAGAGGCGGGGGGTGTGGGGCAATAACCGGATTTGAATCCAGGATCTCAGCGACGCGGGCCCAGTGTCACCCTGAACCACCTGACCACCCCTTCACTCACACTCTGACCGCTTGTTGCGCTCCTCTCTACTGTTCCCAGGTAGCCATGCCTCACCAGTGGCTGGAGGGGAACCTGCCGGTGAGCGCCCGGTGCTCCGTCTGTGACAAGACGTGCGGCAGCGTGATGCGACTGCAGGACTGGCGGTGCCTTTGGTGCAAGGCAATGGTAAGGCTCTTTTGGGAATGTGCAAATGTTCGTGGGAAGTGGTAGCATCGCGGTTAGTGTACAGGGCAGTCCACATGTCTTGTGACTTGCAAACATTGTTTTTATTTTCTTATTCATTTCTTTTTCTACACCGATTAGTGTCCAAAAATATGACGTTTTAGAGAATTAAATGGGGGGTCACAAGAAATCTAGAACGCCCGGTTACTACTCTACAATACCTAATACTTGAGGTCAAATTTGGCTACCCGAATTCGGTTCTCGCTTTCGTCCAATATATCAGTGAGGAATTGATCTGAACCAGTCCTGGGTCCTCCATTGGTCGACTCGGCCTTAAATGAGTACCCGGTGCATTGTATAAACATCAGCAGTGGGCAGACAAACGGAAGCCGGGCGTGGTCCTCGCCACACCACCACCACGTGGGCTGTTCTTGCCGTCATAGGTGCTCGCTGACAGCACTTGCCCCAACAGTCTAAGAACGCTATATCAGGATTTCCGTCGCCCGTCTTTATCGTCAAATAAGTTCGCCGCTGGCCGAAGGCTTCCCCAAGCCATCGGCGCATCCCTCTCGGTCTTGCGATGTAACAGCCGCCCACGGACGTCTTCTCAGGCGTGCTTTGCCACCTTCGGCTGCCGCTCTGTCGTTGGTCTCGACCCTCGGCTATCATCCCTGTGTTTAGTTGGTTGCCCTTCCCCCGCACCTCTGATTCGCACGGTTGGCTGCGTAGGGTGCGAAAGAAGTTGAACGTACATTACGTACGTGCTGACATGTCCCGCCCGAGTGAGACAAACGCCTTCGAGTTAAACCCACGCGTAAATGTTCTCGTTTCTTAGCAGCCAATGTGATATCATCATTGTCAATCGCCACCGCTCGGGGTATTTCCCCATTCCCCCGCTCTCTCCCGTAAGCACTTGCATCACACGGGTCCGCAACAGGACACCGGTTTCTTATAATCCAGCCTTGCTTGCGTCTTGTGTGACGTCCGCACGTGGCGACTGGCGCACCACTGCAACGGGCTGATAAGCCTCCACTTCCCTGAACTTAACGTGCCTCGTGATAAAATAAATAAGCAATAACGTTTAGTTGACTTTCAAACCGCTTGTGACGCACTTTACGCCGTGCCAATCCGTTTTTATTTTCCACGGCCCGCGGTTTCAGACCGCACGAGTTGCCGCTGGGTTATTTTGGAGATTTGTGTTCAGTTTTCTTGGTTTTGTCCGGAATGTATGCTTTGCAAAAAAAACGCAACGTTCGATACGAGTGTTGTGAGACGCTCAAACACGCCATCGTCTGCATCTTTTTCGTAATTTTCAGCATCTCATTCCACATCTGTTCATAAGAGGTCTTACTTTCCAGCATGCACAGGATCTCGATCCGTGTAAATGACTTTCTCTGGCAGCCTAAGAATAAGACAATAGTATCCCATTCATTGTAACGCAGATGCAGGGATTACAACCAAAATGAGGAATTTCCACCACTGGCTCCGGGCTGTGAACAGCACTGCCTCAAAGCTCATTTTTGAGGAGCGGGAGACTGCTCGCAAATCGCTGTGCCTCACTGAAGATTGGGATACACTGCGATATAGTGGGTGAAGATGGTGGACAGCAGGAATTCTCACGAGGGATGGATTGCCTTCAGCACTAGCAAGCTCCAGTTGTTGTTTATTGTCGTGGTTGTGTGTCTCTGGTAGGTACATGGGGCCTGCCGAGATGCCCTGCCCCGAAAGTGCCCTCTCGGTCAGTGCAAGGTGTCGGTCATCCCGCCTCCTGCACTCAACAGCATCGACTCGGACGGTACGGGTGCACGCGCGTGTGTCTACGCACGCTTGTGCACGCGTGCGTGCAAAGACACACTGAGGGGTGATGGCGCAGTGGTAACGCTTGTGCTTCAAAGCAAAAAGGGCCTGGATTCGATTCCGTACTCGGATGTCTTTCTGTCTAGAGTTCGTACGTTCTTCCCCCTGTCCTACACGGTTTTCTTCTGTTTTCTCCGTTTTTCTTCCATAGCTAAAACAAAACAAAAAACACATACATGGCCAATCCCGCACGTGTGCCATTCTTGGCCTTGCTCTTGCCCCGACGGTCAGTGAGAGCTATAGGGGGAATCTTTGTCTTGTGTGTGCATGCGTGCAGGCTTCTGGAAGGCCACGTGCCCCCCCTCGTGCTCCAGTCCCCTGCTCGTGTTCGTCAACTCGAAAAGCGGAGACAACCAGGGCGTCAAGTTCCTGCGCCGGTTCAAGCAGCTGCTCAACCCGGCGCAGGTGTTCGACCTCATGAACGGCGGCCCGCACCTGGGGTGAGAGCGCGCATAAAGACACGTGCACGCAACACGCATGTGTGTGTGTACACGCACGCAACATGCGTGTGTATGTACACGCACGCACACGTGTCCGTGCACACTTACTCTTGTGTGCATGCTTGTGTAGACAGATGTTTTCTAATTCGTGGTTTTTGCCAGTCATCTCAGTCAACCCATGGTACCTGGGTCTGTCCCGTGACCTCCTGCCAGCGTGCATTCGACACTTCACGTAGCCTTAAAGTGCACATGGCCTGGTACAAGCGCCCTGGCGACGTCACCGATATTTAGTGGTTGTTGTTGTTGTACACAGATGGGCTGTCGTCTATAAACATGTTTACACACTGCCCTTCCCCACTCCTGCCCTGTCCAGGCTGCGTTTGTTTCAGAAGTTTGACACGTTCCGCATCCTGGTGTGCGGGGGCGATGGCAGCGTGGGCTGGGTCCTCTCGGAGATTGACAAACTCAACCTGCACAAGCAGGTGATGTGATGATGATGATGGTGGTGGTGATGTTATCGATGTTGATGATGAAGGCTCCCTAAACCGCATCCGCACAAACCGTGGCAGATGCGTATATCCGATCCACAAATAAGGAGGAGACATCACAGCGATACATTCCCCTGCTCCTGAAGCGGTTATCTGGCTTGACCACCTGCTGTTTGTGAGCAGCACGCCACCTTGGCGTTACATCTGTGCGTTTCCAGCCAGCCAGCATTCTGCCGTTGTAATGAGGCTGCTCATCGTTTGCAGCGAGTGTTGTGTTCGGATTGCGATGCCAACGACGATGATATTAATTGACGTTAACGGCTCTGACACCGATGTATACCCTCGGCAGCGCCACACAGGATTGAGAATAACACCGATGCTGCAGACGTTGAAACTGATGATTGTAATGACGACGACGACGACAATGATGATGATGTTCATGATTGATGTTGATGGTAATGCTCACACACTACTCTCCCCACAGTGTCAGATGGGTGTTCTCCCGCTGGGCACGGGCAACGATCTGGCCAGGGTCCTTGGCTGGGGTGCTGCCTGCGACGACGACACGCAGCTGCCCCAGATCCTGGAGAAGCTGGAACGCGCCAGCACTAAGATGCTTGACCGGTCAGTGGAAATTACACCTTCCCATGGCAGGTGTTAGCATGGAATCTCCTTCGGCCTACCACAGTTGTTGACTTCCCATAATAGTGGCCATGGTGGCCATCTGAAATGACCCCAGAAGGATGATGATAACAACGACGGTAATTGTGTATACTTAGAAAGATTATTTTTTATGAGGATTAATATGATGATTATGATATTGATGAATTATGATTATGATGATGTAGAGTTTTCGTGGCCATGATTTTTAATGGAGATTGAGTTGACTGTGTCACTGGTGTGACGATGACGACAATAAAGGCATTGAACTGTGCTTGTGAGAATAGATCATTTACAATGCATGCATACTTTATACAAATTATGCCCTACATTACTCTATTGGAATATACAAAGCAATTATCACTCCCCCCCCCCCCCAGTGAAAACTTGGCAGGACCCTCCTCAAAGAGTCCTGTGTAAACAGGCATCCTAATAAATGTGACATTTACGTTAATTGGACATACAAAACTCTATAAACCAGGCACCCACCTTCGGGATCTCGCACTGACTAACGAGGTGAAGTATGGTCAAACATGTCCCATGACTGATCTGGTGTGGGGGGGCGGGGGGGGAGTCCTTCATCCAGCAGTAGATTGAGACGGATCTGTATATTTTAATTATTCTTTTTATCCCACATGCCTAAAGTAGAGCCCGTTTCGCCACCACCTTCAAACGATTTCGACTAGCGACGTCTCCCCCCTGCCACGCCTGCACAATCCGGCAGGAGGAAGGAAATGACAGCCAGGATGCGGTGGCAGCGACGGCCGTCGTTCGCGATGACCTCCGGGCCTTGACCTTTGACCCCCCCAGGTGGAGCATCATGACCTACGAAACTCAGGTCGCCATGCGGAACAGCGTCTCCATGGTGACGGACGGCGAAGACGAGGATGGAAGGGTGATTTCTCTTTACAACAGACCTCGCACGCTGCATTCGTACACCTTGAGCCCCTGCTACCCAATTCCGATTATCCGTGGGGTACTCGCTCGCTGTGTTGCGGCCATAGAGGGTAGTGCGGCAAAATCCCATCGTTGTGCAGTACCTCCCGCGGTTCTGCGTCTATGCTCCTCCTGCCCGCCTTTGCCGACCCGCACTGACCAGCATGGTGAAGCACGGTCAGATAAGCCCCACGATCCGCACGGCCTGGGGTTGTACGCGTCCAGCAGTGCGCTGACAAAGGGCTTCCACGTTGCGCTTTACTCGCGTACTGACTACGCGCACTCGCTCGGTTAGCCATCCTTAGACCATGTTTAAAATTCCACTTTGCCGTGACGAGGACGAGGCTATTCGTCGGATGAACGCTGTTGACTTCCCACACAACGGGGCTTTTTTGTATTCACCTTAAGGGAAGACTGATAGTGATGGGCTGAATTGACTGCCGGGCCTGGGTTTGAACCTGTAGATTTTTGACTCTTTTGAGTCGACTGTTACGACCACAGCAACACCCGAGCAGATTGACGCATGCATTTTCTCACTGTGTGTGGTCTTGGCCGTCTACTGCATATCGGATAATCTCACGTTTGAGAGAGCGTGAGAAGGCGCGAGAGAGAGAGAGAGAGAGCGTGTGGGAAAGTGAGCGTGACCATTGTCTGTCAGTGAGAGAGTGCTGGCAATGTTGGGGAAAGTTTAGTTGTCTTGGTGTGAAAGTGAGTGAATGAATGAGTGTCTGGATATAGGAGGTGATGGTGTTGTCTTGGTGAGTGTGTGAGAGGGTCAGTGAGTGGGTGTATGAGAGAGTGAGTGAGTGGTCGTGCAGGAGGTGATGGTGTTGTCTTGGTGAGTGTGTGAGAGGGTCAGTGAGTGGGTGTATGAGAGGATGAGAGAGTGAGTGAGTGGTCGTGCAGGAGGTGATGGTGGAGTAGTCTGGGTGAGTATGTGAGAGAGTGGGTGGGTAAGTGAGTGGTCAGTGCATGAGAGGTTGAGTGAGAGTGGTGAGTGCAAGAGGTGATGGTGGAGTTGTCGTTGCTGCTAGGTGCAGATTGCCGCCTACGAGGACTCCGTGGCTGAGCATCTCACGCGGATCCTCAACTCCGACCAACACTCTGTCGTCATCTCCTCCGCAACGTGAGCTCGCCCACTCACTCACTCCTTCATTCCCTCATTCACTTGCCCGCTCGCTCAATCGTTCATTCACTTTATAATTTATTCAGTCACTAAATCAATAGTTAACTCATTCACTCGCTCGCTTGTCCACCCTTGTACCCGCTCGCTCACTCGGTCATTCACGCGTAAAGTTGCTCACTCACTCAGCAGTTCGCCCATCGAGCATTCGCTGTCTTGTCTATTCACTCAATCATTCACTCTCCAGTTCGCCCAGTTGATCACTCGCTGGCCTGTTTATTCACACTGACATTCGCTCAATCACCCACTCACTAGCCAGCTCACTGACTCTGTCATTCACTCATTCTCCCAATTGACTATTCATGCATTTTCACACGTGCTCGCATGTGCGCATGCGTGTTTATGTGCGAATGTTCTTGCATGTGTATGTATGTATAGATATGTTGGTGTGTCTTTGTATTGGCAGGGTGCTGTGTGAAACTGTGAAGGATTTTGTCGCTCGCGTCGGCAAGGCCTATGAGAGAACCACGGAGAATCCTCGCGAAGCTGAGAATATGGCGCGGAAGGTTTGTACACTCGTAGACACAGACAAAGGTCCCCTGTATAGCCTTTACAGACTGTTGGGGCAAGTGCTTTTCGCGAGTAGCAGCACCTATGAAGGCTGGAACGGTGGGTGGCTAGCCCCACGCACGACCGCTTTGTCTCCCCAGTGGAGATGTTTACACACTGCACCAGGTGCTCATTTGAGGCTAAGTCGACTGAGGGGAGTCCCAGTACCGGTTCAGATAATCGTCACTGGTGTTGGCCATGAGCAGGAATCTAACTCAGGTCGCCGGGTTCTTCGCACAGCTCTCCATAAACACACTCTTCCGCATGCAATCACATACAGATGCTCATATACACACACTCATATACATATTCTATTAAGACTGGTGCTCATGAGCAGGGGTTGTGTGGCCTGCACCACGCTTGGCCACCTTTGTCGTTCTCGTACTGATGCACACGCCCGATACACCAGCTGATCCCAAGCCCAGTTGCAATGGGGTTAACATCTGGTAAGCAGCTGGTTGTAAAACTACTCCCAGACGATGATTTCTAGTCCTAGAGAACAACATACACACCGGTATTACACGTTCACGCATCTTCTTGGTTCTTTCGGTAAAGTCACGTAGAAGGGAAAAAAATACAACATAATAAAATACAATTCTCACTGTGAGAATTGTATTTTATAATGTTGTATTTTTATTATTTTATTATTTCCCTTCTACGTGACTTTACCGAAAGAACCAAGAAGATGAATCCCTGCAGTCACGAAAGCTTTAAATCGAAACGTTCACGCATATTCTTGCATATTCATGCTTGCATACACGCAAATCGCAATCATCCATTCACGCACTCACGCGCTGCAAGAATCGCATTTAATCAATGGATGCATCGTGATGGTCCGAGGTGTCAAAGCGTGCGTGTGCTTGCGTGGTGTCGACGGCAGTGTGCCGTCCTGAAGGAGAAGCTCGACTCCCTGCTGCGAACCTTGAACGACGAATCTCAGGCCACCGCCACCCTCCACGTCGCCACGGCAACACCCCCCATCGCTGAGGAGACTGAGAGCGTGGGTGACCCCGATGGAGGCGCGGCAGCCAAGGAGAAGGGGGTCGTGACCCCATCGCTGGTATGGGGATGGGGGGGGGGGTTTGTTGGGTGGATGGGGCAGAGTTATTTTGACCGTCGCCACCCCCTGGAACTCCCCATTAGTTCTAAAATGAACTATTTTTATTTTACCAGGTAAGGCCCACTGAGCTAAATAGCTCTTTTTCAGAAGTGACCTGGCCACAATTATTTAGCTCAAAGAAATGGCTTATCATCACGAGGAAAATAATAGCAGTGAAATACTCTAAACGCATATTGATTCTAAATGGGGAGGGAAAAACCAGAGGATCCTGAGAAAAATGTACTTGACCACGGGGAGAGAGAGACACAAACTCAAAATATACAGCAGGAGTCAGGGTCGGGATTGAACACACGACCTCCTGCATACCAGGGGAGGTAGTTAACATCTCACCACCGTGGCACCCCTTGACACACGTCACCCAGCAGTCCACGCGCCGCTTGTTGTGGTTATCCGGCGTGTCGTGGTTTTCGGCCTAGGTCAAAGGTCATTCGTACGCATGTCCAACGTAAGACGGTAGGTCGCCAAATTTCTCTGGTCAGGTTGAACCCTCACTGTACTCCCCCGATTAATTAAAATTACAACGCTAAATATTGACAAGAGACGGCAAGTGAATATTCATCGATGTGTGTTTGTGTGTATTTGTGCTTATGTATATTTACATGTATATCAATATTTACGTGTGTATTGTACTCGCACATGTGCGCGCATCTGTATAAGTGGGGAGTGTTGGCGCACTGCGCGATAAACCTGGCGACTTGGGTTAATATAATCGTAGTTATTGCTCTGAGTTGAAAGGAGGCTTTGGTGTGGCAATAAAATTCACGCTTCTTTGATTGCTCCTTAGCCGGATAAGTAAAATAGCCATTCTGTTACAGGTCAGATGACATTTTGTGCTAACCATATTAATGGTTTTATTTTGGCAAATAATAACGTTGTTTGTTATGACTGTGGTATTGCCAGTATTGAGGGATATTATCAATTAATTGTTTTTATTTCATTGAACGTGACCAGGTTTTTCTCACCCCTATTGGGCAGCTATAAATGTATTTGAATTGAACTGGTAGTGACCCAGTTCATGGTGGGAATGGAAATCTACTCGTGGTTTTTTTGCGAGAGCGAGCGCGTACGTTGAGGGGGAAATGTGGCCTCCTCGCGGACCCTGAGCGAACCTGAATTTGTCAACAAAAGTTTGAAGGTCATTTTCGAAAACGCTGCTTTTCTCGTAGCCAAATATGCGTCGTAATGAAATTTGGATTAAACCACGTAGGCCACCCGCCACCCGGCATAGCCAAACAAAGCAAAGCAAGTCGCACGTTTATTCTGGCTTCCTTCGTGGAGTTTCAAGTTATCATCGTATCCGATTGCTAAATTTGGTTGCAAAGATTTCTCTCCAATTTAAGCGGGTGAGCTGAAACAACAATAACACGCGCGTTAAACGCATATGCGCATGACAATTTTGCCCGTTGCCGGGTCTTACGACTGGAATTTGTCCGGATCATAATTCACGTGGCATAACCCAGAAATCAATTAAGAAACCATCATCTCTTCTCACATCAACTTGCCGTCTTCATCATCATCGGCCACGATCAATCCAGGACTCGGGTGTCTTGCCCACAGCCGCGTACCATCCCCCCCACAGCCGCCTACCCTCTCCTGTGTTGCGTGAGTTCAGGCGGACGCTGCCCCAGACGCTTCCCCTCCCTCCATGGGCCCCCGCCCCCCCCGCCGCTCCTCCAAGCCCCAGGTGTTCCGACCGCGCGAGCAGCTCATGTCGCGCGCCAACAGCCTGAAGAAGGCCATCCGACAGATCATCGAGCAGGCTGAGAAGGGTGGGCCTTCATCTCGCACGCACGCACGCACGCTACTTGCACGCGCCTATAACACTGTGTAACTATTTTTTTTTTGTTCCTGGGTAGTAAGTGTTGCTTCCCAATTGCTTAAAGAGTACAGAAAATGGCTATTATGCCCCACAAACTGAACGTGGGCTACAGGACTGATTGCTTTCATACCGGCACTTAAAATGTTTTACTGCTGCCTGTTTACTGCTGCCTATTGCTATTAAACGCACATGTAACTGTGGCGAAACATCGACCATGAAACGTCGATTGGCAGAAGACCTTTGCCAGGGCTACAAATCGGTCCATATCACGTGCCAGGGTCCATCCGCTACTTTTACACTTAGTACATCTGTTTGAATTGTGTTATTGGCTGGCAATGCCGGTATACTGTTGGATGAGGGCCTCCCTCCCCCACACCACGTGGGTTATGTTTTATTGCACATCCTCCCTCTCACAACGTTACATTGCAACATCCTCACATTCTGAAAGGCATTTCCAGTTGCATTGACGGTATGCAGCATACTGGACTCATCACAGCAGGCAGGAGGGGGGGGGTGACTTTACCGAAAGACCCAAATAGTAGGAGAGGGGGGGTGATTGGCCAGGTCATTGCCATAATGGGAGTTATTTGCTGATGCTTTACCGTGCTGCGTGATGTTGAAGGCAGGGGAGAGCATGGACGTGAGAACGTAGTGTGTGGTTCAGTGGATTTTCCCACACTGCCCCCTGCTGCTCAACACAGAGCCCTGCAACCCATTTGTTCGGGTGTGGCCTTTCTCACGGAGCACGTGAATGGAGAGGCCGTGGATAGAGGCCAGAAGCGACCTGGCCACAACTATAAACTATATATTTTTTCCAGGCAAGGCCCTACCACTGAGTTATGTAGATCTTTTTCGAAGCGACCGGGCTAAAAATGATAGCTCAACAAAGTGGCTTATCACGTGGAAATTTATTGCAGCAAAATACTCGTGCATTTTTCTAAATGTGGAGGGAAAAACCGGAGGACTCTTGAGAAAAATCCACGCGACCACGGGAAGAGAGAGCCATGCAAACTCCAAATATACAGGCGTCAGGGTCGGGATCTAATCCACGACCCACATACCAGGCGAGAGGGATTAGACTTCTGTGTTTAACACCATTTTGGCCTAAAGATCATCATTAATTTCTATATTTTAAGGCAGTGGTATTGACGAATGCGTAGAGTGTTTTGTTACTTGTGTCTGTAAAACAGTGCAGTACAGTATCACCCAATCATGTGTTCGGGCATGCTAGTGGCCATCCATTCAAGCACTCTCCAGGCTCAAAATCCTAAGCTTTTTAAATATTTGACGACATCTTGGGCATATGCCGCATTACCAAACAACACTTGCTATAGAAAATAGTAATTATTTCTCAAACGTTTTGCTTCACCCACAGCTGTGGACGAGCAGAACGCGCAGACGCAGGCCCACCGCAGCAGCCTCCACCCTGACGACCCCCCCGCGGAGGCCCACGGGGTCACCGTGAGCTCCGCGCCGGACGCCGCCGCGGCCGCCGCCGATTGCGAGGACGACACTGCCCCCGACTCGGCCGCCGCGGCCGTGCCGGCGACGCATGCTCCAAGTCTCGGCTCACGATCGGGCCTCGCCCGCAAAAGTAAGAGAGTGGTTCGGAATGTTTGGGGGGGGGTGATCTGGAGAGCGTCGGGGTGAAATGACACCTCGTATCCCGAGCACGATTTTTACATTTTGACCGCAAAGTTGCCTTTGTAGAACTGTCCACAAGTATATAAGAACGGGAGACGGAGCAGAGCCTCACCATTCTGGCGAATTGCCCGATGATGCTGGATGCAATTACCAGCGAAACGTCGTACTCAAAAATTGTAAATGTTGTGGTTTCACGCTTCAACACACCGGTGGGCTAAAGCAGTGAACTATTTGTCTTTTGTCAACGTGACACTTTTTTACTGATTGGCCGTGTCGGGTGGTGGAGGGTTACAACACATTTATAAATAACGCTGTCTAACCCAAAAACGTTGATTATGAATCATATTGGTCGCGAAAGCCTACGTGTTAAACTGTCCACAAGTAGCCTGTAGTGTGCCCCTTTGATCAAAACTCCGCTACATCGTTGACTCACGGCAGCGGCCCGGCTGTCTGTGCAGGTTCCAGGGCCTCGAGCAAGAGCAGCCTGCTGGGTTCAGGGGCCCCCGGGGTGTTTGGAGTCGCAGGCCTCAGCGGAAGCAAAGAGAATCTGCCGATTCTGAACACGCGCATCATCAACCAGAGTAAATGACACACACTCGCACACGGCTCGTGTCACGCGCACAACAGGTCCGCTGTCGCGTGCGTTTAGTTGTGAGCGCCCGTTTGGTTATCAGCCGCCATTAAGGCCGACATAGGAACAGGTGGGGGGGTGGTGAGTGGTGGTGCGAGTGCTACACGCACACACACACATGCTTTTGTCACGCTCTGGCCCTTCGTGTCATCGTGTCTCTGTGAGACTGCTTGCCTCTGATGTGCGCCGCTTTGTTCTGTGTCTGCCGTTGTCCCTGCATCTCATGTGCGATGGTTCCATGTCTCTCCATGTCTCCGAGTGTCCCCGCTATTTCTCACTGGGACTCACTGGCTAGGTGTGCAACTACAAGATGAGAGCCACTGATGGGTGTTTTACCTATGACACTTCCATTCTAAGATGATGATTGATGATGGGCTGAGTCAACAGCGTGATGGTGATGATGTGTGTTACCTTTGTCTCAAGCGTGATGTGTCCTGTGGCCTTGGTTGCCCGTGTGTGTATGTCTTAGGTGCTCGCTAACAGCACTTGCCCCAACAGTTTGTTAAGGCTATACTGGGAGGATCTTTGCCTTTTTATGTCTTTGTTTTGTGTGCTTGTGTCTTTGTGTATACGTGGAGCGGCGGTGTAGTGGTTATTGCACCGCGCTATGAAACGAGCGACCCGACTTAATTTCCCGCTCACGGCCAACACAATTATCTGAACTGGCCCTGTGCCTCCCCTAGGTCGACTCGGCCTCCAATGAGTACCTGGAGCTGTGCGTAAACATCGCCACTCGGGAGACAAAGGCGGTCTGGCGTGGCATTGGCCACTCGCCCCCTCGTGTACCCTCCCAGCCTTCATAGGTGCTCGCTAACAGCACTTAGCCGAAAAGTCTGTCGAGGCTATAACGGGGATCTTTGTGTGTACGTGTGCAGGCCTGCGTGCTGGCCTCACTGCGTCACTCTTCACGCTGGGCGCCTGCGTCTCCCCGTCCATCGCCCCCGACGCAGACTCGCTGTGAGTTCCAGTGGTGCTTGCGTGCGTGCGTGCGCGTTTAGAGTATTTGGCTGTGTGCGCACGCGTGTGCATGTACGCACGCGTGTGCATGTACGCACGCGTGTGTAACATTCTGTGTGTGTGGCCTGCGCGTTCACAGTGAAGGCTACACGGAGAAGTGCGTGATGAACAATTACTTTGGCATCGGCCTCGACGCCAAGATTTCCCTCGACTTCAACAATCGTCGTGAGGAACACCCGGAGAAGTACAGGTGCCTCCTCTCGCCCTCCTCGCCACTCCACGCTCACCCCGACCCTACCGCCAACACACGCTCCAAACACCAACACACCATTATCAATCTTGAGTTTGTTCCTGTTGCCCGGCTCTCTGACATTGACATGCTAATCTTCTCATTGGCACACCTCTCGGTGGCTGGGCCGCCTCACATTTACATACAAATTCCTTCTCTAGCTCCGCCCACTTACCCTTGGGTTGGACCCACCAAAAGCTTCTATAACCTCGTGTTGCAGCAGCAGCAGGAGCTCTCTTTCTCCTACGTTAGCAGTCCTCCTGCTGTGTTGGTTTCACCTGATGACGGTTGCTTGTGTTGCGATCGTAACGTCGTGATCTATACATTTTCTATCTACGTGACTTTACCGAAAGAACCAAAGAGTATTCATCCTAAATCTTCACATTCTCTATATATAAGGTGTGTTCGTGTTTCCCAACTTGATTCCCATCGCGCCATCGTCCTCGTCATGGCACGCAGCATTCCTGCGGAACTCTCCCACACCAGTGGTTCGCCCCATGTCATTCAAAAAAATACCCGTGGAAGGAGATATTATAGAACTACTGCTGAGATCCCTTTGAGTAGCTGTTTTAATCCATGCACTGCGAGGTGGGGGGAGGGAGTTGTATGGTCGGGGGGGGTGACACTTTCCCACACGCCCTGCTACAGAGAAATGTTCATCGCATGGAGTCAAGCAGACATTCTATAAATGTAGCCAATTTACGGGGAAAACTTTAATTTATCGTGAGGGGTTTTTTTTTGGACGCGCTTTGCTGGACTCACATTGTGCGATCGCTTTTTGTCTTTTCCACCACTGCTCCCGGCGCGCAAACTGCGGTCTCATTGTGCCCCTCCTTGGTCTAGGAGTCGAACCAAGAACATCATGTGGTACGGAGTCCTGGGCACGAAGGAGCTGCTTCAGAAAACATACAAGAACCTCGAGCAGAGGGTCCTGCTGGAGGTGAGGACTCATTCGTTGTCACGGCCGTCGAGAGTCTTTGACGGAGGAGTTAGAGGTTGGTCTTGAGCTGGGAAGCGGTGGGTCGGTAGTGTGGATGACCAGTCGGAGGGACTTTCCAGACTCAGAGGGTAGCAGAGGAGGAGCGAAGGTTTGGCAAGAAGCCAGTCCATCTTGAAGTCGGTGAGCATGATCTTTTTTCATGCGTTGTACAGATAGCAATTATTGTCCAGATGAAGGTTTTGATGCTGAAAATGAAATGAAGCTTCTTCTTACATTTGTTGCACTCAGACAATTTACAAATCCACATTCGTGCGTGTGTCTTGTCTTTCCGCGTGTGCGAAATTCCCCAACTGCCCTCGCCCATTGCCCAATGCCCAGTGCGATGGGCAGCCCATTCCCCTGCCCTCCCTTCAGGGCATAGCTGTGCTGAACATATGCAGCTACGCGGGAGGAACCAACTTCTGGGGAGGCACCAAGGAGAACGACGTGAGTTGGCGAGTGCTCTTTCACAGTCCCCTGCCTCTGTCGCTCACACCCGTCACAGACACACCTGTCAGATATTCTGGGTTTTTTCGGTAAAGTCACGTAGGTAAAAAATTAAAATTAAAATTGATTAAAGTAAATTTAAAAAAATAAATCACGACGTTTCGGAGGCAACACAAGCGTGCTGTGACAGTTCCACCTGAAGACGGAAGCTTGTGTTGCCTCCGAAACGTCGTGATTTTTATTTTATTTTACTTTTATCAATTTAAATTTTTTACCTACGTGACTTTACCGAAAAAACCCAGAATATGAATCCTTGCAGTCACGAAAACACCTGTCAGATACTCACCACATCATCATCATCATCGTTATCACCCCATGATCGGTCCACCACTGGATGAAGCCATCATCGTCATCATCGTCATCATCGTCGCTCACAGCCCTGCGATGTAACAACCCGTCTAGCACCGCGGCACAGGACCTGACCCCGTCGCTCCATCTCCGTGGTAGACGTCCTCTCGGGCGCATTCCGCTACTTCCAGCTGCCACTCCGTCATCGGTTTCGACCACCGACCATCATCCCTCCTCGTGACGCGTCCGGCCCAGACCCACTGCGATCCAAACGCCTGCGAGTTAATGACAGCTCATGGGAGGTGATGCGAAAGGGTTGTTTTGCTCATTTGTTCCGGGTCTGCCTTTGCGCCTCCCTTGCTGCCCTGTGTTACAGACTTTCACGGCTCCCTCCTTTGACGACAAGATCCTGGAGGTGGTGGCCGTGTTTGGCAGCATGCAGATGGCCGTGTCCAGAGTTATAAACTTGCAGTACCACCGCATCGCGCAGGTGAGAAGATGGAGGAGAACACGGCCCCTTGTTCAGGAGGGTCATGCCAAGCTTTCGCGGTCGCGAGTGATGTTGTTAAGTATAATGATCCCAATTAAGTTATTTTGCAAGTACATTTTTCAGCATTTTAATGTATGAACGCATCCGAGAGGACGTCCGCTGTGGAGATGGAGCGATGAAAATTAGCTCGTGTGCAGACTCGGAGGATTCGTTACATCATCGCAGAATCGTGGAACGTGTGGCAGTGGTTGGGGAGGCCTTGAACCAGAAGTGGACGTTTCATCGCTGGCGACTGATGACGATGATTTACAAACATTTGCGCGCGTGTACCGTGTTGCACCTGGGGAGCGGTGGCCCAGTGGTTAGCACACTGCACTACAAACCCGGCGACCCGAGTTCCATTCCTACTCGCCACCAATATAACAGTGACGGTTATCTGAACCGATCTTGGGACTCCCCTAGGTCGACTCGGCCTCAAATGAGTACCTGGTGCGGTGTGTAAAAACATCGCCACTCGGGAGACCTCTCGTGTGCCGTGCCGGCCTTCATAGGTGCTACTCGCTCACAGCACTTTCCCGAACAGTCTGTTAAGGCTACACGGGGTATCTTTGTCTTTGCAGTGCCGCACCGTGCGAATCAGCATCCTGGGGGAGGAGGGGCTGCCCGTGCAGGTGGACGGGGAGGCGTGGGTGCAGCCGCCCGGATTCATCCGCATCGCTCACCGCAACCGCGCTCAGATGCTCACGCGGGACAGAGTGAGAATCGCCCGCCTCCACTGCAGCAGCAACAGCACTGACGATGCTGGAGAGAAGGGGTTCAAGGGCCGAGAGAGAGAGAGAGAAGGGGTTCAGTGGCTTGCAGAAGGGGACTGAGTTATCGCTACTTCTGAAGGCAGTTTTGGAGACGCCGAACCAGTTATTGCTGAGATCTCGGTTAAAAATGTTGGGGCTGGATCTTTTTCAAGTGTCAAGTTTATTTTGTTTAACCAGATGGGAACTCAAAGAGTTCCGATTGTTCTCATTTGCAAGACCGATCTGGGTTCACCAAAATATATTATAATCGCAAGACAGTAAAAGTACTGGAGCAGACGTTGAAAAAAAGATAAATCTGAGCAAAAATAACTGAGATTATTCTTAGACTGATCGTAGTACAATTACAAATAACAGTACATAATCGCTTTTCAGTTTCAGTTTTAATTTATTAGGATTTACCCTGTGAGCCATTCGGCTCTTGATTTGGGTTAAACCGCAACAAACAATAAAATTACAAGATACACCTAAAATTCATTGTACACAAATCTGAACATCGCATACGTAAACAATAAAATCCTACAGAAAAAGCACAACCCGTCCATGCTGTGTACAGAAAGTGCAAAAAATTCCATTTCAGAGACAAGGTGCCAGTGCAATTGAGATACAGGTCCAAGATCTTACACCGAGAGGTTCATAATGATGATTGCCATGACAGTAACAATGACAACACTGGTTAGGATGACAATGAGTGTGACTTAAACAGCAGTGATAATGTAATGGTTCTCACGCTGGAGGTCTCCGATTCGATTTCCCATCACGGCTGTTGAAAAAATGTACAACTTTTTTAAAGTCCCCATGCCTCTGTTTATCCAGCAGTATAAATGGGTAATGACGATGATGAGGATCCGTTTGTGTGGATGCTAGGCTTTCGAGAGCACGCTAAAGCTGTGGGAGGACAAGCAGCATCGCGATGATTCTGCACGCCCAGGCTCCCAGCATGCCTTACAGGGGGGCAGCAGCGATTCCCAGCATGCCTTGCAAGGGGGCAGCAGCGGTGGACTGGTGCCCGAGGTGGTTGGGGGAGCAGAGGCAGAGCAAGTTCATCAGTTTGCAGAGACTGCACGATTACTCATGAAGGAGTGAGTATGTGTGCGCGCGTGTGTACCTGTACGCTTATGCATTTGTCTGTGTGTACAAATGTCCGGTGTGAGTAGTGGGGAGTGGTGACATGATGGTTAGCGAATTGTGCTACCAACCTGGCAACCCGGGTTCGATTCCCAGCCACGGCTTTACGTTGGTGACGAACGAGATCTAAATTGGTCCTGGGCATCCCGTAGGTCGGCTCAGCCTTAAAATTATAACTTGGTGCAGCGGTTAAAAACATCGGCACCGGGAAGACAAAGGCGGCCGTGCGTGGTCCTGGCCACACCACCCCCCCACGTGCACCGTGTGCCGGCCTTCCAAGGTGCTTGCTTACACAGCACTTGCCCCGACAATCTGAAAGGCCTACACGGGAGAGGGGGGGACACCTTTGTCTTTTGTGTGCGTGCGTCTCAGGATCCGCACAGCGGCCGACTCTCACCACGCCCTGGAGCAGGAGCTGGCGCACGCCGTGAACGCCGTGTCGCACGCCCTCGCCACCATCTACGCCAACACCGACTCCGAGGTGCCCCCTACCGTTCGGGCGGGGGGCGTGTGGGGGGCGTGTGGGGGGCGTGTGGGGGGCGTGTGGGGTGCTCGTCGACTCGGCAGTGGGAACCTCGCGATTTCAAATCCCGGTGTGGGGCGGTGGGGCGGTGAGGGGTGGAGGGTTTTGAACGGCATCCATCATTCGTCGTCCGACTCCCATCTTCTTCATTCGTCGTGTTCGTTGCCATCATCATCTTCGTCATCATCTGTATGTGTTCGTCACAATCATCTTCATCCTCGCCACAGTCATCATCTTCTTCATGTTCGTCACAATCATCATCTTGTCACAATTATCATCATGTTTGTCACAATCATCTTCATGTTCGTCACAATCATCATCTTGTCACAATTATCATCATGTTTGTCACAATCATCATCTTGTCACAATTATCATCATGTTTGTCACAATCATCTTCATGTTCGTCACAATCATCATCTTGTCACAATTATCATCATGTTTGTCACAATCATCATCTTGTAACAATTATCATCATGTTTGTCACAATCATCATTATCTTCATTTCTCTTTATTATTGTAATCGACATCATCATCATCACCCCTCTGGCGCCAACTAAAATGGGAAGCGTCACTTTATGGGGAGTCAATAGTTGTTGTTTCGGCGATACTGGCTCTTGCCATAGGAATGTGGAAGTTCCACCCCAGCTCAGCACCAAGCAGTGGAGATGAAGACACGAGCACTGTGTCAGCGTCCGTCGGTGCTCACAACATGTTCCCCGGGGGGGTGGAGCGGGGAAATCTCGTGTTTTTGTGTGTCGGTATATACATCTCTGCATATAAGTGTATGTGAATTTGTGTAGGTTTGGATGTGTGTATATGTTTGTTGATATTATATAAATGTGTTGAGTATGTATGTTGAACTTATTTCACGCCGTACGGAGCTCACCGTGATAATCGGAGGGGCGTGGGGAAGTACCCGGTGTGATATGTAAACATCGCCGCTGGGGAGACGAAGGCAGCCGGGCGTGGCGTTGGCTGCCCACCCCCTCGTGTGCCGTGCCGGCCTTCATAGGTGCTACTCGCTAACAGCACTTGCCCAGTAAGTCTTGTCGAGGCTATAAGATGGATCTTTATGTATCCCCATCCCATGGCACAGCCGCTGAGCCAGGCGTTGGTGCTGGACCTCGTCCACAAGGTGAAAGCGCTGCACAGCGAGACAGCCCAGCTCCTCTGTGGGAAACTGGTACGATCCACCGCTGACCTTAATAGGTGCTCGCCGACCGTATGTGTGTTCAAGGAACCATCGTTGTTTTCGCCAACGTTATCCGTCTTCACTGTCATTGATTTTCACCTTCGCCCATCTTTTGGTTTGTCGTCATCAGCAGCGTTTTCAACGTCGTCTCCATCGCAATCGTCGTCGTCTTCGTTGCGTATTCGTATGTGGGTAGTGACCAAATAACGGGATGAATCGAACCAGGGTCGATAAACGATAACCACTAAATCTTTGACCGTTTTAAGAGATCGACTATCGATTCCGAAAGTCAGGAACCACTTATCGTTTCCTGCTGAACTTTACCGATGAATGCGCCGATTGGCACACGCGGACACACAAACCGCACGGGTGGCAAGCCATCGGTACGAGAGCAATGCGTAAAAGCGTACAAAATGAGTTGGCGAGCGTTGAACGTGTCCTATGCAAAAAGAGACACTCGCGTGTATCCGTATGAAATGTGTGTACGAACTTTTAGCACCGTACGTAGCCAACTGTGCTAATGGGAGGTGTCTGTGTGTGTGTTTGCGTGTGTGCTTGTCGTATCACTGTGCGTGCGTGTTGCATCGTCGTGGTGGGGCGTAGCTGCTGGACACGTCGCACGAGGAGCGTCTGGGCGCAGCGCTGGGCAGCGTCGAGCAGGAGTTGCATGGCCTGGGGGACATCGCGTGGCTCTCGGGGAGCGTACGGGCGTCGGACTCGGAGGTGAGGAGGCACGCCACTCGCCCGCTCGCCCGCCCGCTCGTTTACCGATCCAATTACTCACTCACTTGCAAACTCTCACTCGCGTATACACTCATCCGCACGCCCAATCACTCGCCCACTCAAACATTCAATCACTCACCAATTCACCTACTTAAATGCTCATTCACTCACTCACTAATTTAATCACTCACATACTGTCTCTCTCTCTCACTCTCCTCGTGTCTCCCCCATGTCTCCGTGTATCTCCACATGCCTGTGGATTGCAGGGCGCTCTGGTAGAGTTCTCCAAGAGGAGCCGAAGCTCAAAGTTCCGTCTCTTCCGGAGAGACAAGAACCACAAGCCGCGTGACAGCAGAGGGCTGGCTCCCTTCCCTGGTACGTGGCCCATGTACACTGCCTTGCGCTGCGCCTCCACGCCCCTGTGTTCATCATCATCTTCGTCGTAACAGACGGCGGAGTAAAACATAGCGAGAATTCCTGCTCAAAATAGCAATCGTCTCTGTTCGCATCCCTGAGAACAACGGTCGAAAATCCACATTCCCACGTACACACCCCTGTGCCGTGTCTGCAATTGCTGCTCTGTGTGTGTGACGGTGCAGCTGCATTTGTGTATAATATTACCGCCGCACGTGCATTACAAACCCAGTTACCCGAGTTCGATTCCCACTCGCGACCAATAACTGTGGATAAATGTTAACTGGTCCTGGGCCTCCCCTAGGTCGACTCGGCCTTCAACGAGTACCTGATGCGGTGTGTAAACATCAGCACTGGGGAGACAAAGGCGAGCGGCCGTGGTGTTGGCAACCCCACACCCCCTGATGTGCCGTGCCGGCCTTCATAGGTGCTCACCAACAGCCCTTGCCCCAACAGTCTGTTAATGGCTATACAGGGGATCTTTGTATTTGTGTGTACCACCACCACCACCACTCTCTACGAAACACAGTCACTGCCGATATAACTCTGCCAATGTGTGTTTGAGCACGCGGCGTCTAATGTTGCCGACTGGCGCGCCTGCGCGTGTCCACGTCTTTGTGTGTCCGTGTGTCCCTGTAGTCCAGCAGTGGGGTGTGGAGGAGGTGGGCGCGTGGTTGGAGCTGCTCTCTCTGGGCGAGCACCGCGAGTCGTTCGCTCGGCACGACATCCACGGCACGGAGCTCCTCCAGCTCGAGAGGAGAGACCTGAAGGTGCGGCCCGCGAAAGGGACGCGAGACACGCGATGCTCGTCACACAGAGAGACAAACCACTGGGCAGACAGAGAGAGACGCACCACTCCGTACAGACGCACTACTCGATACACACACAGATACACGCTACTCTATACACAGACATATACACTATATGTTACACAGACACTACTTGTTACACAGAGACACCTTGGCTCGGTACGCAAAGACATAGTTCCCCACCTTATGTGCTGCCCCCCTTCCTCCTCCTTGCTGTGTTTATTCCATCAGGAGCTGGGCATCTCCAAAGTTGGCCACGTCAAGCGAATTCTCAACGGTATCAAAGAGCTCAACAAGGGACCCACAGGGGAGTTCTGAGAGCCTCCAAGCATTCACCTCTCATCAAGTAGGTCCCGTGACAAGGGAGGTCCCACCACGGAGGTCCCACCACGGAGGTCCCACCACGGAGGTCCCACCACGGAGGTTTCAGCAAGGAGGTCTCATCGTGGAGATCTCATCGTGGAGGTCTCAACATTGGAGATCGCAACAAGGAGGTCTCAAGACGGAGGTCTCAAGACGGGGGTCTCAGCAAGGAGGTCCCGTCAAGGACGTCTCCTCACGGAGGTCTCGTCACGGAGGTCTCGTCACCAGCTCATCGGGTCCACCACGGAAGCCCCACTACGGAGATCTCATCACTACGGAGGTGTAGGCCTTACCACAGAGGTGTAGGTCCCACCACAGAGGTGTAGACCCTAATACAGAGGTTTAAGGCTCCAATACAGAGGAGTAGGCCCCACCACAGAGGAGTAGGCCTCACCACAGAGGTGTAGGCCCCACCACAGAGGTGTAGGCCCCACCACAGAGGTGTAGGCCCACCACAGAGGTAGTAGGCCCCACCACAGAGGAGTAGGCCTCACCACAGAGGTGTAGGCCTCACCACAGAGGTGTAGGCCCCACCACAGAGGTGTAGGCCCCACCACAGAGGTGTAGGCCCCACCACAGAGGTGTAGGCCCCACCACAGAGGTTTAAGGCTCCACCATAGAGGTGTAGGTCCCACCACCGAGGTGTAGGCCTCACCACAGAGGTGTAGGCCCCACCACAGAGGTGTAGGCCTCACCACAGAGGTGTAGGCTCCACCACAGAGGTGTAGGCCCCACCACAGAGGTGTAGGCCCCACCACAGAGGTTTAAGCTGCACCAGAGAGAAGTAAGCTGCACAAAAGAGGACCCCAGCACCGAGGACGTCTGTGTCTTGACCTCAGCCTCGTGTTGCGTGGGCTCCTGCGCAGCGTCTGTCTGTCTATTCCACTACCAAAGGCCACGGCAGGACTGTGGACTTGACCAAAACACAGGGGGGCAGATGCCCCCCCCCCACTCCCCTATTGAAAGCAGCCAGACCGTCAGTGTGTGGGTGTGGGTGCGTGTGTGTGTAGACTTGCGTCCGTGTGTGTAGACCTGCGTGTGTAGACTTGCGTGCGTGTGTGTGTAGACCTGCACGTGTGTGAATGGGTAAAGTTCTAGGGGTGAAACAATTTTACTGCCCCCCCCCCCCCCCTCTTCCAAAGGTGCTTCTATGAATTGTCAAGATTCGTCGTCTCTATTTGAGTCAAGTACAGAATGTTGTTTTGATACATTGTAAGGAATGGTCACACCTCTATTGGCGGTGGAGACAATTTTTAACCTATTACATACAACATATACAAGTCAAAAAGCATCGATCCGTACAGACGTGGTACGATGCTTGTTTCCTAAAAGCAAGGTTCAATACGATGCGGTGGATTATTCCAGCCCGAGTGGATGGGTATATTTGGGTGTGTGAGTAGGCACGTGTATGGATGTTGTGTGCATGTATGTGTGTGTGTGCGTATGCATGTGTGTGTAGATTTACTTGTGTAGGGATGCATTTGTGTATGTGTCCGATGTGCGATGTGTGTGCGTGTGTATCGGTATAGGAGGTCTGTGTGTTTTGCATGTGGAGATCAGCGTGCTGCGCTACGAACCCGGAAACTCGAGTTAAATTCTCGCCTGCAGCTCACGTTAGTCTAAAGCCTGCCCGAGGTCAATTTAGCCTTAAATGAGTTCCTGTTGCAGTCTATAAACACAAAAACCCCCTTGTGTGCCATGCCAGCCTTAATAGATGCTCGCTAACAGCACCTTCCCCAACAATCTGTAAGGTTTGTACGGGGAGATCTTCGTGTGTATGTGTGTGTGTATCCTGTGTATTTAAGTTTATTATGCGCATTTATTTAAGTTTGTGTGTAATCATGCAAAAAAACATCTGTGTAGTGTGCGTGCGTGTAGCGTGTAGCGTGCGTGTAGTGTGCGTGTTGTGTGCGTGTTGTGTGTCCTGTGATTGCACACCCATGCACTGTGCTGGCTGTTTTTTTTTATGAACCTTGTTTGACTTTTATACTGAAAAAAATGAAAAGGAACAAAATGGTAAGGAGGAGGAGCGTGTGTTTTAACTGTTGTAGCTTCATCACGTTTGTGCCATGATTGACGCGACCAAAAAAAAATAATCCAACACTTAAAAAAAAAGATGATGATTAGATTTTTTTAAGTTTTAACATCGGGTTAAATTTTAAACCCTTTTTTAAATTAAAATCGTCGAGGATATTTTCCAGACCTTAATATTTTGGTTGTACATGTCTTAATTTGCAAGGTTGGCGTTCTTAAATTTATTACTACTATTAATGTTATTGTAATTGGTGTTGTTTTAAGCTAAATGAGGTTTATGATTGGAGTGAAACATCTGTAATAGCGTGCGCTGAGTGTTGAAAAAGTGATCGTTTTAACGTGTGCAATATCTTTTCTCCCACAAGTTGAGAGGTGGGCGTTTAAATGTGGCTCACCACCGAGCCAGCCGTCGCAGTTCAATCCCTCCTGCTGCTCAGAAGTTGTACACATCGCATGGCAACACGGCAGTGGGCCCCAATGGGTTGCATTTGTGGCTGGAGCAATGGGTTGCATTTGTGGCTGGAGCAATGGGTTGCATTTGTGGCATCAACAACAACAACATCAGCAGTAGCGGAAGCATCGTCCTAAGCAGCCACATTCTAATCGCCGTCATGCTATCGTGTATTGGGTTGGCTAGGGCCAAGTGGCATAGGTTATTGGTGACGAGTTTTTAGTATAGGGGCAGGGCTAGGGTCTGGCAGGCTTTTGTGATTTGACCTCGTTCGATTCTGGTGGTCTCGAGTGGTTCGTTCTATGGCCGGTAATTTGGTTGGCCGGTGTGGCTGGGGCTACGCGTAGAGTGGTTGGCCTAGTGTGCTTTAGGGATGGATATTGACGGTGTATCGCTCGTGACATTCGGGCTCGGGCATGCGCTAGCTCCTTACGGACTGCTTCGTGATGTTGTGTATGTTACGTAGTATTCACGTGCGTTGCGGCTCTTGAAATATTGAGTTTTGTACCGATTTCGAAAGAAAAAAAAGGCTCCTTGTAATTTTGATTGCCGTCCCCTGGGCTAGGGTTGTATTGTTTAGCGCGGTTAGGTCCAGCAGTAGAGTTTAGTTGGCTGGTGTGGTTACGGACGGGGGTAGTACATGGTTGGCTTTTGTTAAATGGGCCAGTCTCTGTTGTGTTAGTGTGGTGAGGGCACGTATGCTCGACCCACAAACTGTTTGCCCCCTCCCCCATCCTTGTGTTTTACCTTTGCCAATCTGCAGCATACAGCCTCTTGTTGTAGCTGGAGCAGGGATTGAACTGTCGACTTGCTTGCAGGCTGGCTCGGTTGGCAAGCTCTGCCCAGCGCGCAGGACCCAGACCCCCCCACCCCATTGGCCGCGCCAAACGAATCGACTTGAATCATTCGTCCGTTCGAGAGCTCCGGAGTGCGGGCATTGCTTTTGTGCGGGTGTTTATTCGCCGTTTTTACCGTCGTCGATGTTGTATCAACGGTTATCGTATTTCAGTCCGCGTGCTAAAGGCTGATTTTTTTTTTTCCCAAAGCTGCCGGGACACTTTGATGTCGAGTGTCTTTTTTTTTCCTGGCTCTAATTTGCCAGTTCCGTGCACGCGTGTACAAAATGGAGCAAATGGGGCAGTGTTTCTTGCACTGTGCTACCAGGCCAGCCACCTGGATTCCATTCCCGTCCACGCCAGTGGCGAGTTGAATTTTAACCCGTCCAGGGCCCAATCTCTAGGTTGGCTCGGCTTGAATTGAGTGGAGGGTGCAAACAATCAGCACCGGGGAGATGAAGGCAAGCAAGAGCGGTGTTCCCACACCGCCGGCCTTAGTAAGCGCTCGCTAATGGCGCGTGTGCGTACAGGCTTTTGAGTCTAAACGTGGGGTATTTATATTGGTGGCTACGTATGAATATTTGGTGTATTTTGATGTCACTGTGTCAATGGCCAGGTCTTTGAAAATTGACTGTGGTCCATAGAAGCCTTCTCTTGAGAATGGTGTCACAGGGTTACTTACATTCCACTGTGTGTCTGATGACACATTTACATTGACAAGGCCTTACTACCCCTACCCAGTATGTAACTTACCAGGGATCCAACTCCTAAAGACTGACTAAGTAGGTAGCTAGTCAGTTCCCCATTGTAATTGTTCCGTAAAATGCAGGAGGGCTGATGGAAAAGTCTGTGGCTTGATATTGAAGGGGAACGGTGCTTACAATAAAGGGCGAATGTTTATATTTTTTTATCAAGGACTACAAATGCTCAGTGCTAAATTAATTGTCCTCTTATGTTCATTGGAAATTTGAGAACTCTGAAAGACAAAACAAATCTAAAACTACAAAAACAATCGGGGAGAATCGAGATAAATCTGAAAAATTCCCACATCCACAACTGAAGTGGCTCCCAGTGCCGTCCAAATGTCTCCCCAACCAGAGAATCGCTTGTTGGGAAAGTGCACCCTACTCGTTACGGAGGAGCGCTGTGAGTAGTGAGCTCCATGGGTGCTAGAGGAGTTATTCTGAGCGGTGGTAAAATTAAAGCCCTTGGTACATTGATGAACCAAATGCTTCGGACTTGAAGGGGAGGGGGGAGCTGTGTCTAGGAATAATAGGGCTCTCATCAGGGCCACGTGTTGCTCACTGGATCAGTACATGGAACTTTCCATCAGCTGCTCTCCTGAAACTATGTATGTGGAGGTCCGGTCACTGGCTCACTCGGAGGCGTTCACATACAGCGAAGAACTCCCCAAATCGCTGAGCTTCGAGGTGACCGGGAGATGGTAAGAGATGAATCGTGTTTCTGACCGATCTGTGTTGTGGACTTGAGAAAACTATCCCCCCTCCCCTTCTCCCAAGTTATGCGTGGCGTTTTCTCCGGGTACATTATGGTGACGTTGTTTTTTTGTCAGCTGGCCTGTACAAATTCTATGGCTGTTGTGTGTGTGTTCCACCAAGTCTTTGTGGAGTGCTCATGCCAAAAAAAAACATTGTGGTGTAAATACGAGGACCACTCAAAAAGATGTCTGACTGCACAGACAAGGGACCTGTGGCCTATATTTGTGGTCGTGTTGTGGCGCCAGTCATTCCTTGCAGGCGGATTCGCCAATGTAGTCGGTTGAAGTCGTGACGCTGATGTTGGGCTACAGATGTGTTGACCGAGGTGTTAATCCACACCAAGAATTCACATCCATTCTAGCGCAGGCCTAACGGCTCCGTGTCCGCTCCGTAGCCGCTCCGTAGCTTAGACCCACAACTCAGAAACTCAACCTGCGCTGTTTATTAAGTCGGGATATGAATAATTATAACCTTGATTTGAAGCTTTCGTGACTGCAGGAATTACTCTTTGGTTCTTTCGGTAAAGTTAAATAATAGAACACGACGTTTCGATTGCAACACAAGCAACCGTCATCGGGTAGAAATACATTTGAGACAGACATTCCTGTAAACATTCATGCCAACGTTTGTTTTATTTTTTTAAACCTACAATGATTACTGGTATTGGCTTAACATCCCAATGCCGCACAAGTACAACGGTAATTACTCAATTTAGAATGCACACAGCAGAAGCAGCAACATCGCCCCACTCCTGCTCAAATTTGGCAGGGCCCTCTTAATGATGAGTCTCGAGATCTTTCCTGGGTAATAATACAAATGCATTTTCCAACAACTTCATATCTACTCTGCAGCCCAGACGCAGAACTCCACACCCATCTTATAGATCTGTCTCATCAAGAACTTACTCAGGTTTATTTTGTTTAGTGTCTCTTGTTAATATGTATTTTTTTCTTTTATGGCATTGCATAGCGAGGATGTATACAATTTTAATTGATTTATGAAAAAATAAATATGATGAGTGGGCGAAGACCCCAGGGCCAAGCCCAGGACACTTTGGCGGGACTGTGGCTCGGCTGGCGTGGAAACGCCTGGCAATTCCCCCAGGAAGAGCTAGAGTCTGTCGCCAGGGAAAGGGAGCTCTGGACCGCCACTACTCAACACGCTGCCACCGCAACCCTCACCAGGACAAGCGGATTGAGAAATGAACGAACGAGTTGGCTGGATGAATTTCACAATTGCTGTGTCGGAGACAGTGAGCCAGTCGCTGCTGAGATGCTGGAATAATTCTAGATTTGAAGTTTTCGTGACTGCAAGGGTCCATACTCTTTGGCTTTTTCGGTAAAGTCACGTAGGTAAAATTTTTAATTTAAATAAATTAAATCACGACGTTTCGGAGGCAACACAAGCTCCCGTCTTCAGGTGGCACCGTCACAGCAAAATTACTGCATCAAGTGGTACAGTAATTTGGTAAAGTAATTTTGCTACGTGACTTTACCGAAAAAAAACAAAGAGTATGCTGGAATAAATTCTGGGTTCTAGCCACTCGTGTGATGTAACCGGCCTCTTGAGTTGATACAATTTATGGTCTCGACCCACCCGGCAGTGACTGCACAAATCGAACTGTCACATTGACTTTGGTCTGTTCCTCGGCGTTCCGTGGCCGAGCTATTCGGCAGATGGACTCCTAACACAACTGCAGAGAACGGTCAAAGTGGTGATAGAGTTCAATCGTATCGAGGAACGGCCGTGGAATGGCACCACAGATACAATGCAATGTGGATTCGTATCGTTTGTCCATTTATGCCATTTAATCACCCGATTAGGTAAACGATAAATAAAATATAACGTCTAAAGTGACCCATTTTCAAGACGCTTTTCAGAAATTAGGCCGTATTTATTTTGTATATGGGTATAGGCAGCCACTCACATAGGCAGAGGAAAGCCTTGAACCTGGATTTGGAACCAGGGCAGGACATCAACAGCATGGTTGGCTGTGGGAGAAGGGAGTTCCAGACTGGAGGCAGCTGAAGACATCCGCCCCAGAAACCACTTCTGTAGGAGTCACATGTGCAGCAGGCCTCACCGCGTGTTGTTACTCGTCCCCATATCTTTATTATAATTTAAAACATTAGCCCTCGGAGCAATAGTGGGCATGCCACATTCAATTTGACACTTTAGTCTTTTGTGCAGTCAACTCGCTACGCTTGAGCATCCGGTTGAATGTATTGGTGGCGAGTCAAAAGCCAGAATCTGCATTGTAGGCGCTGCCCTCGTGAAGGCTCCCACTCATCTAGCGGGTCTTTGGGCAGGGGTCTCGAGGCACTGATGTAAAATAGCCCTTGGCATCAGACGGAAACGTCTTGCGTTTTGTATTTGGGTTTAAACAATTGTGAGTCGTGCAGCTAATTATGTGGGTGGGGGTGTGTCTGCACATTGCTGTTGGTATTTTTGTGTATGTGACTTTGTTATTGTGTGCGTGTCGCATGTGTACGTGCGTGGATGTCCCGAGTATCTTTACGTATCAATGCACACGTATCTGTGTTGCATCGTTCGCCTGTCTGTGTTATGTGTCCCATGGGCACGTGTGTGTCATCCATATGTCTGTACATAATCATTTATGTGTATGTCTGTTAATGTGTTTATGTTTAAAATATCTGCCTAGGTATTTTGTACAATCAGACACTCAACCCCCACATCTCCCAATTGGTGATTGGGCAGTTGTGGAGAGAGTGGAGTGTTTCCCATACCTGGGCAGTGTGCTTATGACCAGCTCTCCGAATCAGTTGAGCGGCATTATCTTTTTATTGGCTGCGTAACGCTGTGTGGAAGCTACCTGTTCAGTCGCTCCACACGAAACTTCAGGTCTTCTCGGCCACGGTCATTCCCTCCCTTCTCTACGCTTGCGAAACGTGGGCCCCCCTTAATTGAACATCTTTGCTGGTTAGAAACATTTAGGCTGGCCTGCCTACGATCCATCCTGGCTTTAACCAGGCTGGATTGTGTGAGGAGCTCACAAATCCTTGAAAGATCTGGACAAAGTGCCATCGGTTAGCTCCTCTGGCAGGCAAGGCTGCGTTGGCTGGGCCATGTAGCCCACATGCCCAGCCACCGCATGCCTAAACAGCTTTTGTTCAGCCGGATAGAAGGGGCTAAACATGCACGGCACGGCTTGAGAAGAGATTGAGTGATGTGGTGCAAGAGGACGTGGAGCTGAGTGGACTTGCCGATGACTGGTACTAGCGGTGTCAAGATCAGCCTCTGGTGGAGGCTCGTGAAGGACTCTGCTACTGTGCAGTTGGAGGCAGTCTCTCTCCAGCAACAACGGAGGGCGGAGGAGCGATGCTCACAACGAGCGGAGTGCCAGGTGGCTAAAACACAGCATGTTGGCACAGTAGGGGGCACAGGTGGTGCATCGGCCAGTCATCTAAGTTGACCCATGGCTCCTGGGTCTGCCCCGTGACCTGCCAGCGGGCGTTCGACACTTCACGTGGCCTTAACGTGCACTTAGCCTGGCACAAGCGCCGTGGTGACGTCACTGCCACTTCGCGGCAAATGGCGGTTTTGTTTAAAGATACGTTAAATTAGGTAGATCACACAATTATACACCAGTCATTCAAACACATTTGTTCTGATGCCATTTTAAAGCTACTTAAAAATCACTTAACGATTAAATGAAACTAAAATTCTAGTTTTTTTTACTGGCTTCAGCAAATAATTCTATGATGGTTACATTTTTTTTATCTACCCCAAGTGCTCTTTTGACCGACTTTATCAAGTTGGGTCAAAGAGCATAAATTCTAGATTTGAAGTTTTCGTGACTGCAAGGATTCATACTCTTTTTTCGGTAAAGTCACGTGGGTGAAAAATTCATATAAATGTAATCACGACGTTTCGGAGGCAACACAAGCTTCCGTCTTCAGGTGGAACCGCCACAGCAGTGAAACGTCGTGATTTAGTTTATTTGAATTTTTTACCTACGTGATTTTACCGAAAAAAACATTATAAAGAGCATAACGTTTGGCCAGTGAGGTCACGTGCATCGTCTGATGACTGCACGGTCCACCTGGTAGGTGCGAGCGCTGTTCACTAAGTGGGGGGTGACGTCACCGCGGCGCTTGTGCCAGGCTAGGTCCACTTATTTTTTTTACAATACACACCTATGCACATACCCCATAATACAAACACACACAACGTAATATGCACTATGTACAGCATAATGCATTACGATATACAAACTAATAATAAAATCATAAAATCCAGCACTGTTCAAACACTCACCATTGGCGATAATTCTCTTGACCTGTGTCAAAGTAAAGGTCAAACCAGCGCAGCTCATTGGTTCATCCACCCTGGACCCCGCCCCCACCCGCCTTTTGGCCACTGCCCCCAGTGTAAGTTGCCACCTGTCCAGGTTTGACCCGTACTGCTGGAGTTGGCGCTTTTGTGTTCAGGTGGCAACCGGGGTAGATTTGTCTCGGGACCTGGTGTCACTGTGTCGAACTCGATTGCAAGTCGAACTTAGCTCGCTGAGAAGTATGATGTCTGGGGGGAAACACACTGAGTCGACACGTGTGAAGAGTTTGAATCGTGGTGGCTATACTTTGAAATGTAAACCAACACATTCTGCCTTGTGCCATTAACAGCAAATTTATTCCAACATGATGCCCTCTGCGGTTGTCCAGCTAGAGAGCACATTGGGTCCCCCCCTCCCCCATTGCCTTTAACATCCGGATGGATATAATCTAGATTTGAAGTTTTCGTGAGTATGGATGGATATAGTGAAGGTTGTTTTTTTGTTGGGTTAGATCGCGTTAATTTGTGTCGTTAAACCTGCCACCACCCGGCACAGCCCAATTAGTAAGGTTGGCCACGTAAACAACAACATGCCAATTACTGCTTCAGCACACCGGTGTGTTGGAGAGTAAACTCACGACATTTATTGATTAAACAGAAACCCTTTCACATGGATAGTATTGGTCGCGAAAGCCTCCGTGTGGAACCCCAGCGGGTGACTCTGTTGTCGAGCAAGCGGCTTGCAATCAAAATGTCGCGAGTTCAAATCCTAGAGAGGGCGTTGACCTGGCAGCGTCGGTGCGATCCCAAGGTTCTCCAAACGAATTCCGCTCTGGCCGTGTGAGCCCCCCTCTCACCCCGTGAAACGCCTCGGGACTGGAGAGGGAGGAGACATTTCGCTGTTGGGAGGCGTCGATTTGTGCTCGTGTTGTGCGGTTTTCTGTCGTGAACTACTTGCAGCCACGCGTGAACCTATTATCGCCCACACGTGTGTTGTATGCACTTCGCAAACGTGCACCTAATGCATGTTGTGTACGTCAGCGAATGTATATTTGTGTTGATGCTTAAATGTACATGCGTGTAACGGATGCGTGCGTTTGTGTACGTTGTGTGTGTGTGTGGGGAGCGGTAGTGTAGCGCTTAGCGCTACGCTGCGCTACCAACCCGGCTATCCAAGTTCGAGTTCCGTCAATACACTGACGATTATCTGAACCGGTCTTGGGCCTCCCCTAGGTCGACTCAGCCTCAAATGAGTACCTGGTGCGGTGTAAAAAAAAAAACATCGCCGCTGGGGAGACAAAGGCGGCCGGGCGTCGTTTTGGCCACCCACAAACCCCCTCGTGTGTCATTGCTTTTTGCTAACAGCACTTGCATCCACAGTCTGTTAAGGCTACACGGGAAGGGGGGGTCGTTTGTCTTTGTGTATGAATACGTGCACTGTGTGTGTGTGTGTCTATACATATCTGTAAGTGCGTGTACGTGTCGTACACATTCCCAGCCTAACCCCCGTTGCCTTGCCAAGGCGAAGAAGGGCACTGTCCTTATTTATTTGTTGGAACATTGTGGAAGAGAAAGCGAAAAGTTACCGCTTTTGCTTCGTTCGGAGTTTTTTCCCGCCTATTTATAAACAGCCTCCGTGTCGAATGTTGATGTGCCCCCCACCCCCGCAAAAAAAAACATTCCCTGTGCCCCCTCCCCCCATGCAAACAGGACGTGTTGCATATGAATGTGCGTGACTTTGAGCTATTTTTTGTACATAACGCATTTTGAAAGAGAAGGAAAAGTGGCGAGAAGGCATTTCGAAATACCTCATTGAAAGTGAACGTCGTCTGCACGTGCACACACACACGAAAAATACAGAATATCCACTCTTCCAGTGACTTGTGAATGATTCATTATTTGTGTAGTCGTAGTCGTCGTCGTGTTGTTATCGTTACCCGGAGGAAAGCACACCCAAAAAGTAAGATGCGTGGTACATTTTTTTGTTAAATAAAATGCTTTAAAAAAAAAAACAATTTGATTTCATTGCCAAAAAAGAATCTACGCAGATCGACGCATTTGCATTGGTAAGCCGCGTGCGGAACGTTACATAGCGATTGGTGTATGTTGTCTTTTCCTTCTGACAACACGTGAAGTGACCTTCCTCACAGCGCAGTGCGCTAACCCCTGCGCCACCGCTCCCTGCCACTGCCATCAGCGTTGACATTTCCCCCACAACTGCGGTTAGCGAGGCCTGAGGCGGGCAGGGGGGGGAACGGGGCGATGCATATATAAAGATACAGATGCCCCGGGTAGCCTTCACAGACTGTTGGGGCAAGTGCTGTTATCGAGCACCAATGAAGGCCGGCACGGCACACGAGGAGGTGGGTGGCCAGCACCACGCCCGGCCGACTGTCTCCCCATTGGCGGTGTTTACGCATTCCAACAGTCACTCATTTGAGGCTGAGTCGACTTAGGGGAAGCGCAGGACCAGTTAACGTAATCGTCACTGGCGTTGGTGGCCGTGAGCGGGATACGAACTCGGATCCGCCGGGTTCCTAGCGCAGCGCGCAAACGTTTCAGCACCGCTCCCCACGAACAAAAGACAAAGATCCCCCGTGTGGCCTCAACAGACTGTAAGACAAGTGCATCCATAAACACGCACGCGCACGCAACACGCCACTTTGCCAGCTTCCACCCCACTCCCCACCCACCCACTCGGCCATGAACACGGAGTCCGAACACCGCACAGAGAGATCGCAGCCATGCGGCCCCTACACGCCTGTCTCGTCTGTGTCATCACCACCCTCCTCCCACACGCCTGCCGCCCAGGTGAGGTGCGTGCGTGTCTGTGCGTCTGTCCGTGTGTCCGCGTGAGGAGTTCACAGATCCTTGAAAAAATGTCACAGTCCCATCGGTGAGCTCCGGCATGCGAGGCTGGGTCATGCCCAGCCACCGCATGCCCAAACAGCTTCTGCTGTTTGGCCGGATAAATGGGGCTGAACGTGCGCGGCACGGGCTAGAGAGGAGATGGAATGTGTTACAGAAGGACGTGGAGCTGAGTGGACTTGCCGATGACTGGTACCAACAGTGTCAACATCGGCCTCTGTGGAGGAGGCTCGTAAAGGACGCTACTGGGGAGTTTTGAGGCAGTCGCCCTTCGGCAACAATGGAGGGCAAAGGAGCGACGCTCACAACAACGAGCAGAGCCTCGGGTGACTAAAACGCCGAAAATTGGCAAAGTGGGGAGCACAGTTGCTGCATCTGCCAGCCATCTCAGTCCGTCAACCCATGGCTTTTGGGTTGGTTCCGTGACCTGCCAGCGCGTCTTCCACACTTCACGTGGCCTCAAAGTGCATCTAGCCTGGCACAAGCGCCGTGGTGACGTCACCTACCGCTGAACGTCGGTTGTCTTTATGAATTCGCGAGAGGTTAGCGCGCTACGCACCCAGCTACCAAGCTACCGGAGTTCGATTCCTGCTCACGGCCAACACCAGTAACGATTATTTGAACCGGAATTCTGCTGGCCTTAAAAGGTGCTCGCTAACAACAATTGCTCCAACAGTCTATTACGGCTATACGGGGGATCTTTGTTTGTGAGATTGCACATGTCTGTATGTCCCTGAGTGTGTCTGTGGGTATGTCCGTCTGTGCAGTACCGTATCTCTGCAAGTATACCCGTTAAGTCCGTACATGTCCTATGTCAGTGTCTCTTGTGAGCATATCTGTACGTATGCGTCTGTATGTTTTCCCGTCGGTTGCCGTGTCGATCATGAGCAGAGTATGACCATACTTCACCACGCTGGCAGCGGCTTCTAGCTGACCATCAAACTAAGACGGTCACCGCATCGCTCGCTTTCAGATGCATTTCTGCGGCCGTCTGGAACGCTCCTTTGATATTAGGAAGTCACTTGCAGCTATGCACTTTTCAATCTAGATGTAAAACTAATTTCTTTACAACTACATTTCGTGTTCAGTGTGTTGTCCTTCCCCCCCCCCCCCGTACCTCTAATTATCACGGTTGGCTACGTAAGGTGTAGAAGAAGTTTAGGGTACATTCGCTGGATCAGGCGTGGACAAATGCCACCATCAAGCAGTGGATTGACGAACGGCTTGTTTAAAGTATTTACATGCGAGGAGCGGTGGTGCAGCGGTTCGCGAACTGCGCGACGAACCCAGCGGTTTTGAGTTCGATTTCTCGCTCACGGCCAACATCGGTTGCTTCTTTACCACTCTTTGTCGTTTCACGTTGTCAGTCTGATCCACGTGGTGTATCGCTGGTAACAATGCGCCGACGGAACTCTCTTCTTCAGACACATCGATTGGCCTGCTAATTTTCAGACTCAAATCCACGCTTTTAATAACCCGTAAAAACAAAGTTTTTCACTATAAATCCTTTTTATGCGTGGCGGCTAGAGTCTTCTCGTCCTCTGGCTTGAGATGGCTGCCACCTATGGGTCAGATGATTGTCTGCCAGTATTAAACAATTGGTAATTAAATATAATAATTTGTTTTCCCTAAACAGTGTAAAAATGTTTACAAAAATTTTCACGAACATTAATTGTCTCGCACAACGAGTGTGTGTGCAAAATGTCAGCTCGATTGGATCACGGGAAGTGGGTTAAAAAATGACCGAAAGATTTGCACGGTCGTAAGCAAGCAAGCACGCAAGCAAGCAAGCGAACTTAATATAAAGGATTTAAAAATAAGCACCACACGCAGTGCCCGTTCGCCCAAATCGATACCGGCCGCCGTGGAAAAAAAAAGCTTTTGTAGCTCATCGGATTCTTCCAGTATAAAACAATTTCTGATTCGTGAACATCTACCCAAGGTATGCAAATAGCATTTAACAGACAGTTGTGTCAAGTGCTGTTCGCGAGTAGCAGCGATGAAGGCCGGCATGGCACACGAGAGGGGGTGGTGGGTGGCCAGAACCACGCGAACTGACACTCAGCTTTGTTTCACATCGCTGTCTCTCCAGCACCATCTCTCTCTCTCTCCTGCGCTCAGTACATTTGGACGTGACTGTCGTTTTGCTAATATTTATTTTGAGGCCAACTTTTGCGGCCTTCGTTTTGTTCAGCTATTCAATAATTTACTTACAAAAACCACTTTCATATATTGCTATGTCATTAACAAACTGCGCTTGGCAAATACTTGTGATTTTTGCGCATGCGTCTATTTTGCCCATGACATGTGCTCAACAATTACAGCCTTTTTAAAGAAAACATTGCATCGAGCCGTCTTCGCCATCACCCGCATTTGAATGCATGTCCCTTCCGACATGGGTGGATTAGGGCTCAGCACTGCACTGACACCACTAAGGGTCCTGGGTGCAAATCTGGGCTCGATCCGCTCGTGGTAAAGTCGGGTACTCAAGTGTAACGACTTCATGATCTCAACCTGGTCACCAATGTCTTGGGCGCTGTTCTGGCGAGATGTTAACTACCTCGCCTGGTATTCAGGAGGTTGTGGGTTCGATCCTGACCCCAACGGCTGTATATTTGCATGTTCTCCCCATGGTCGCGTGGATTTTTCTCCGGGTCCTGTGGGTTTTCCCTCCGCGTTTAGCATCAACGTACGTTTAGAGTATTTTGCTGCGATACATTTCCACATGATGAGCCACTTCGTTGAGCTATCATTTGTGTTCTTAGGTTTTTTCGGTAAAGTCACGTAGGTAAAAAATTCAAATTAATAAAAGTAAAATAAATAAATAACATCACGACGTTTCGGAGGCAACACAAGCTTCCGTCTTCAGGTGGAACCGTCACAGCACGATAGCTGAAACGTGATTTTTATTTTACTTTTATTAATTTGAATTTTTTACCTACGTGACTTTACCGAAAAAACCGAAGAATATGAATCCTTGCAGTAACGAAAGCTTCAAATCTAGAACTATCATTTGTGGCCAACTCGCTTTTGAAAAAGAGCTCAGTGGGCCTTACCTGGTCAAATAAAAAGGTTACAGTTGAGTTTAGACTTACATAGAGAACCACGGACTGACAGAGACCCCTGGACTTGCGTAGACTGGTTTGGGATTAAACCCGGGTTCTCAAAGGCAGCCAGTTGATGATCTCAACCTGGCCACGAATGACCGCACATCCAAAAAAAACCCATCGCGTTAAATTTGCCTTGTCATTTATTCTAGCTGCTGGATAACATGTTCCATAACATGTTGGAGTCATTGCCACGCGACGAACTCCCTTTGCCGGGCGGGGGGGGGGGCACATAAACACGTGATCGGAATGTGGATAACGTTCCCATTGAAGCGACTCCAAAAGTAGTTATGTGGTGTTGTCCTCCTGGGCTGTGTTTCCTGGCACAAAGTGACGTGGAAACGAAGTCGAAATCAACACAATATTCGCATCGATTGCGGGTGCCAATGCTAAAAACGACATTATTTTCACGTGTTTCGCGTTATTCCAACGGTGCTGGTCGGCATCATGACACGAGCCATATTCTTCATCAGAAAATGTCACAAGTGGGCAGTGCATAACCCCATGTTAGAGAATGGCACGCAGAATGGGATATCACTGAACTAATTCTGAGATGCTTTCAAGCGACCTCTGATCTACACTTTCTGCGATGCACTTTACCACGAAAGTGCTCCTTGCATGGCAGTCAACCCGAATTTTTTTTTGTCTGATCTTAAAAAATTTAACCCGTAAAAACAAAGTTTTTCACTCTAAATCCTTTATATGCGTGGCGGCTAGAGTCCTCTCGTCCTCTGGCTTGAGATGGCTGCCACCTATGGGTCAAATGATTGTCTGCCAGCATTAAGCAATTGGTAATTAAATATTTTTTAAAATTTTCCCTAAACAGTGTAAAATTTTGGAAAAAAATTTTCACGAAAATTAATTGTCACGCACAACGAGTCTGTGTGGAAAATGTCAGCTCGATTGGATCACGGGAAGTGGGTTAAAAAACGACCGAAAGATTTGCACGGTCGTAGGCAAGCAAGCAAGCAAGTGAACTTAATATAAAGGATTTAAAAAATGCTCAGGTGGAAAAAAAATTTCAATTCATTCTTTTTTTGTTGCTGTCGTTGGTAACCAGACCACAACCAGCCCCGTTACCCGGAACCACGTGTCACCTACACCCAGAATTCCAATGCTCTGACCCCTAAACCACGGAGCTATGCACTTTGAAATCTATATTGAAAACTCATTTCTCTAGAACCGCTTTTTGTGCTTAAGTTGGTTGTCCTTCCCCGCATCTCGACGGTTGTCTACGTACGGTGCGAAAGAAGTTCAACATACATACACACAGACACGTACGGCCGGCTCCCACGGAACACCCCTCGTTAATGCGTTGTCGCGGTCGCCCCGATCATGACAAATCGTAGGTGCTGCGGAAGTGGTTTTGAATCGGCGAGAGGCAACCAGCTTCTTGAGTGCCAAGACGTCGGCTCAGCAGGGGCAGCAGCAGCATCACCGGAACCGGCGTGCCAAACCGGTGCGCGAGATCCTGGAGGAAATCAGGCCTGGCTCCCTGGAGCGCGAGTGTGTCGAGGAGACGTGCACCATGGAGGAAGTGCACGAGATTACGGGCGACACACGCAAGACGGTGAGGAGGACGCGCGGCTGTGGGTGGGCGAGAGGCGCTGGCCTGGGAGGGTTTCCAAATGGGAACTTTTTCATCGTTAACCTCGCAGCAGCAGCAGTAGCAGCAGCGGATTTTGGCTGGGCCATCGAACACAGGCGGTCACCGCTTTCGGATGCGCTTATGCGGCCGTCTGGAACGCTCTGCCTTCCAGTGTTATGAAGCCACTGGTGCTATGCACCTTTAAATCATCTAGATTGAAACCCGATTTCTTTGTAATTGCTTTTTTGTGTTTAGTTGGTTGTCCTTCCCCCACACCTCCGATGAGCATGGTTAGCTCTGTACGGTGCGAAAGAAGTTCTGCATATTGTCTTGGTTCTTTCGGTAAAGTCACGTAGAAGGAAAATAATAAAATAATAAAAATAAAACATAATAAAATAATTCTCACGACGTTTCGGCCACAACGCAAGCAGCCGTCTTCAGGTGGAGAACAGGTCTCGACAGTGGCCGAAACGTCGTGAGAATTATTTTATTATGTTTTATTTTTATTATTTTATTATTTTCCTTCTACGTGACTTTACCGAATGAACCAAGAAGATGAATCCCTGCAGTCACGAAAGCTTTAAATCGAAATTCTGCATATTTGTTTAAAAAAAAAGTTCAAGCCAATGTTAAATGCTACCAACAGTTTAATTCTGGATCAAATTTGGTAGGGAAAGTATTGTAGATGTAATGATTATGAAGAGAAGGTTGTGATGAGTGGGACACATGCAAAGGGGTTAGCAACTTGTAGGAAAGCGTTGTAGGTGTCATCAGAAAGACGAGCACGCTGCAGGCAAACAAACGTACAGCTGCAAATGCAGGCGTGTGTTTTCCCAATGTTCGGTTTTTATCTCGCCCCCCCCCCCTCGGCTGGCTGGGATGCGAGGTGGGTGGCTGTACTAGGAGCACCGCGTGTGTTTGCACACAGAGGAGCACGGGGTTTTAGTTATCTGCAGCAAACATGGTGCATGTCCTTGTGTGTACAGTGCGTGTTTATGCACGTGTACACGTGTGTGTGATTGCGTGTGCGAAACGTGGACCCCCCTAATGGAACATCTTCGCCGGTTAGAAACATTTAGGCTGGACGTCCTACGATCCATCCTGGGTTTAACCAGGCTGGATTGTGTGAGGAGCTCACAAATCCTTGAAAGATCTGGACAAAGTCCAATCGGTGAGCTCCTCCGGCAGGCAAGGCTGCGTTGGCTGGGTCATGTAGCCCGCATGCCCAGCCACCGCATGCCTAAACAGCTTTTGTTCGGCCGGATTTACAGATTCTGAAGTCGTTTGGTGGGTGGTTGAAGAGCCGGGCAGACGCGAGGTCCCGCACCTCCGATCAGCACCGTAGGCCATGTACGGTGAGAAAGAGGTTCAACGTACGTACGTACGCGTGTGGACGAACCCAAGAGCCAAGTTGGTGACATTGGGGTAGTGGGCGTCCTGACAGCAGATGTCCTGAGATGGTTGCGTAGCTGCGCGAAATCATTCTAAACGGTAGGGCATGGAATGGCCTTGCCATTCTGGCAAATTGCCCGATGATGCTGGATGTAATTACCAGCGAAACGTCGTACGACTCAAAAAATGTAAATGTTGTGGATTCACTCTTCAACACACCGGTGGGCTAAAGTAGTGAACTATTTGTCTTTTGTCAACGTGACACTTTTTTTTGCTGATTGGCCGTGTCGGGTGGTGGAGGGTTGCGACACATTTATAAATAACGCGATCTAACCAAAAAACCTTCATTATCAATAATATTGGTCGCGAACGCCTGCTACGTGTTCAATAGCCAAGCAAGTTACATTTGGCTTGGTCATTGTGGCCTAATCCAAAACATCTATCATGAATTTGTAATATCAGCTTCGGTAACCCACATGCGACATTAGCAACACATTTTGCTGTACTGCCTCTTACAGGCACAACTTCCATTCCCTGTTGTGTACAATCTACACATTTTTTTTCTCAATATGACTCACTGCGACCCAAGATAGCCAAACAAATAACTTTTGGCCAGGTCGTAACATCGGCTTTGGTAACCCACATGCGACATTAGCAACACATTTTGCTGTACTGCCTCATACAGGCACAACTTCCATTCCCTGTTGTTATTCATCTACGAATTTGTTTTCTCAATATGCTCTGCTTCATCACGTTCCTAATCATATGTCTGTTTACTTTCAGATTGAATTTTGGAACAAATCTGGTGAGTTATGGTGTTGGCAAAAAACAAATGTGTGCTATGGGTTCGTAGCTGAAGGAGGTCCTAATGGCCATGTCAGAGCCCTTACTGCCGAGATCCTGCTTTTGAATCCGTGTCGCATCCTCCCGCGATTCAACTGGGTCACAAGGTGTCGAGTGTTTACGGTCACATCCAGGTCACCAACGACCGCACAACAAAGCCGAAGCGTCGCGTTTTCCATTTCTCGCGCGTCGGCTAATTCCGGCTCTTACGACTAAATGATATTAGTGTTTTATTAACTCGCAACACTCTCTAACAGGTAAAGTCACGTAGAAGGGAAATAATAAGATAATAAAACTAAGACATAATAAAATACAATACAATTCTAAAACATAATAAAATACAATACAATTTTCACGACGTTTCAGCCATGAATGACGCTGTCTTTCCGACAGACCTGTTCTTCACCTGAGGACGGCTGCTTGCGTTGTGGCCGAAACGTCGTGAGAATTGTATTTTATTATGTTCTAGTTTTATTATTTTATTATTTCCCTTCTACGTGACTTTACCGAAAGAACCAAGAAGATGAATCCCTGCAGTCACGAAATCTTTAAATCGAAATTCTCTGACAGGTCACGCAGAAGGTTTGCCCCTCCCCTTCCTAGAGGCCCATTGACGGAAACTCATCAGAAGTTAGTTCTGTGACGTCTTCTCCTGGGGCCATTCTCCGACACGAGGGCTGCCATGTTGTCAAAGTCGTTCCACATGAAACTCAAATAGTCTCCGTGCTCGCAGAAGCACTCAGCAGTGAAAATTCCACATTCCCATGGCGGAGGCGCATCTCCACAACGATAACCCCCTGGTGACTTCGCACAAATTTGTGTCATTTTCTTGATGGGTAGAGTAAATCCCCAAGCAGGAGTTGAGCTCCCCAAACCTTCTGTTTGTGAGCCACTCGCTCTACAGCGGAGTCACCTGGCAGGACATTCAATTATTATTGTTGTTGTTGTATTGTAATAGGTCGTAACTTCTCGCTCGTATCAAGTACTCTGACCACAATAACACTGGGGGGGGGGGGGGGGCGGGGTGGCAGATAAGGAGAAGTCATGAATCCAGACGGCATTGACAACACCGTAACCGATGTCCAAGTGAGATGTTGTTGACTGTGGCAAGAACACTCAAAGCCAGATGGTGAGATGGTAAGAGTGGTCCTTGTGGAATGGGTCAACTATAACAGCAGATGACCCTTGGAGGTTGCTTGGCAGCTCTCCAACAGCAGTGGGCTCGGGCAGCAGGAATCAGGAAGGAAGCAACTGCGAGTTTGTGGTGGCGGTGGCTTTAACGGCATTGGTCGTAGTGATGACTTCGAGGTCTTCACTTTGACCTCCATCGTCCCATCATTATCTCCCACAGACGGAGATCAGTGCGCATCGAGCCCCTGTCAGAACAATGCCACCTGCCACGATCGGAAGGGCCTATACATCTGCACGTGCGACGAAGGATGGGAGGGCATCAACTGTGAGCTGGGTGAGAATTCGTCTCCGCTGGGAGGAACACGAAAAATTAACGAACGTTCCCATTTGGCTGAGACAGTCCCAGTGGTTTCAGAAAGCCTGTGCCGGTGAGCTGCCCGGAAGCTTTTCTACTCTGGCCTCAAGGCAGGTGGTGGTGGTGGTGATTCGACTGTAAAAGAAGATCTGCGGGGTCGGTTATAGACTGTGTCACAGCTGACGGATCTGACAGAAGGAAGCGACGGTGAGATGGCCCTGAAGACCTCTCAGTAGAGGTGGTCCGAGACATTTTAAGGAGAGGTGGGGGGGAGGCGCCATGGCGAATCCCGGAAACTTTTAAAATAGCGCCTTAGTTAAAACAAACAAAGATTTGTTTTCTGATCGACATCAATACAATACAACTTTTCTGGGTCTCAAGGTGGCCACCATCAGCCCCATCGCTCGCCATCTTGGCTCATCAACCGCCTTTCGGAATCTCGAGTTTCGACCTTGCCTGTGACCTCCTGACCCCTGGGCCTTCACCGTCCGCAGGAAGACGCACGTGCGCCGAGGACAACGGGGGTTGCGACCACTTCTGTCTCCCCGCGGAGGACAAGGGCAGCCGCAAGTGCGAGTGTGCCGCCGGCTACACGCTGGCGCCCGACGGCATGGCCTGCAACCAGTCCGGTACGAAGCAGCCCACCGCGGCGGCACCGGCAGTCCGCAATGAGATGTAGCGGCGACATCGTTGTAGCGGTGGTAGGAGCCATGGCCAGCCACGGTTAGGGAGCAGAAGGGGAACTTTTTCCCTGGGCCTCGCGCAATAGAGGGCCCACAACTGGCCTATATTTGTGTTGCATTGTCCTGTACAAGAGGTGGTTTCATCACTTCCTCTCAGGCACCTCGACTCCTTTGGCAGCCACTTGGTTGTTAGTCTCATCGTGCAGTGGATATGTTTTCAACTTGCGTTTGTTCTCTACGTCCGTCCCTCAGTGTCATTTCAAGTTTACACCTCGCCATGCATTTTACATAAAACATAGACATACGATGCATGCCTGCGACCACATCACCCAATGGGCTTTGTTTGGGTTGTGCCGCGTATTGATATTCAGTTCCCGAAGCTCCTAGTTTCACCGAAACTTGGGATGTTATACTAGACAAGACGCGGGGTACAAACCAGCCAATTGGGATTACACGCAGCAGCAATCATCGCCCCCCTACTGGCAGACCACTTGCAGGCCAGGCGCCAAGTCACTTTGTTCCCACAGACACGGCTGCCGCTGGGGGTGCCTTTAAAACGTGTTGAGTACGAGACGCGACGCAAGTCGCTTATCAAGCTCTCCGAGATGCCCCCGGCGTAAAAGGAGGGCCCTCTTTTCAACAAACAAATCGCGGTTATCGCTACAACCTGTAAGAGCCGTGCAGAACAAAGCAACAACAACAACAAAACCTACGTGGGAGCAATCGACGAGTCACGCCGCGTGTCTGTCGCCCACTCTGTCCCGCCAGTGGACATCCCGTGCGGGAAGATCCAGGTGCGTTCTCCCTCTCCCGTCATCTCGCCCTCGGAGGAGGCGTCGATGACGGGGCAGGCCAACCACACGACGGTTGCGGAGCCCGAGAGGGGCCCGTTCCTCACTCCGCGCATCACGGGAGGACAGATCTGCACCAAGGGCCACTGCCCCTGGCAGGTGACGGACGTAGCTGGCGAGAGAGAGAGACAACGAGTGGTGTGGCAGCGCTCCCAGGAGGGGAGTTGCCGTTGTTTCCCGCCTCGACCTCTGCTCACGATGACAGGGGGCAAAGGGGCGGAGGCTACCCGAGTGGTGGGCGGAGTTTAAGTAGCGTGGGCGGAGCCTATGAGCAGTAGGCAGAGGGGGGGGGGCAATGTCAGAGTGAGGGGGGGGGCAATGGGGGGGGGGGGTGTGCGTGGGGCTAGTGGTTGAGTAGGCGTGGCTACTTTAAAGTGGGTGGGGCTGATGGAGGGGGGGACCACCAATCAGTGGTGGGCGAGGTTTAAGTAGTGTGGGCGGAGCCTATGAGTAGTAGGCAGAGGGGGGGGGCAATGTCAGAGTGAGGGGGGGGGGCATTAGGGGGGGGGGTGTGCGTGGGGCTAGTGGTTGAGTAGGCGTGGACCACCAGTCAGCCAGCAATGCGTCTCTGTTGAACTCGCCGGGAAGAAATCCGGTCGACTTTTTTTGACGACTGTTATTCTCACCCGTCTGTTTGTGCTGCAGGTGTTGCTCATCAAAGGCACCAACAAGGCTTACTGTGGGGGCACCCTGATCCACCAGCAATGGGTGCTCACAGCTGCGCATTGCGTCTCCGCTCAAGAAAAGTACCCCACGTTTGTCCGACTGGGTAAGGACAATTATTATTTTACACAGGGCACGGAGGCTTTGCACGCGCATCAGTACCGTTATATTTATTAAGCCTTTTCTTGGTTCTTTCCCTTCTACGTGACTTTACTGAAAAAACCAAGAATATGAATCCTTGCAGTCACGAAAGCTTGAAATCGAAATTTATTAAGCCTGTTTAACCAGGACAGCCAAATGTATCGTGTTCTTGTATTATTTTTTTGTCGTAACTTTCCGACCTGCCCCGACTGGACATCTGTGAAAACGAGCTTTGTGGCTCATCGGATTCCTCCTCCACTATCAATTTTGTGATTCTCAAATGTTTGCAGCAGGGAGCGATGTTGCTGCTGTGTGTAACCACATTGAGGAATTTGCAGATAATTTCTCAGCACTGGGATGTTTGGCCAGGAGCAGGTACGATAACCAGTCTCGAAGCAGTGCTCATATCCGAATTACAGCCCTGAGCCAGTGGTGAAAAATCCCTCATTCCTATGCCAGGGTCGAGTCCATCTATAGAGGGCAATCACTGCCCACTCCCTCCGCAAAATGTTATCAAACCCTTGGGAAAGATGACGGAGCCGAGTCAACCCCCCGCCAGGATTTTAACTCGCGACCTTCAGATCGCGCGCGGAGAGAGCGAGACCGCTCGCTCAACCACGGGGGCCCCCCCCCCACCCCCCGTGCATTTTGTTGCTGTTGTTGTTGTTGTTGTGCGCCACCAGGCGACCACTACCGCAACAAGCCAGAGCCCGAGGAGCGTACCGTGGCCGTGGCCGAGATAATCGCTCACCCGCACTTCAACCTGCGCACCTTCTACAACGACATCGCCCTGCTGCGGCTGCGGCACGCCGCGGGGCTGAGCCCCTACATCGTGCCCGCCTGCCTGCCCGACCCCCGCGCGGCCGAGAGGAGCCTCTTGCTACCCGGAGTCCGAGCGGTGGTACCAGTCCGCGGGGGGGGAGAGGGGGGCAGCTTGGGGAACGTCGATCCCGCAGGATGACTTTGTCGCTTTCGGTTCTGTTTGGTGTAGAGCCTTGTGTGTTTATGCACCTTTGTAATAATCACCCTGGAACTATTTAGATGCTTTTGTAACTTGATTTTACTATCGATGTTTGTTTTTGTTATTTAGTCTACCTTGAAATTGGAAATTTTATCGATTACTCTTTTGCAGATCTCCGCAAAAGCACGGTTACTTTTTCTCTAATTTCTTATTGGTTATTTTCACTCGGATTTATATTTGCAGCATTCTTGTACGTGCTCTGATGTTATCGCTTTGTTAGTTAAATGTTGGTGGGTGATTATATTAGTGATGGCAGTGTTGGTAAAGATGACGGTAATGAGGGTTATTTATCAGTGATTGCCAGATAATCTCATTATGAATCATCCGAGACAGACAGATGCGCAGCCTCAGGGCCTGACGCCACGATGTCAGCTTTGTCGGCTCAGCAATTACGATCACTCTTGACAAGTCCACCACGTCGCATGTCCCTCCACCCCGACTCACTTACAGGTCAGTGGGTGGGGACGAACCCTGGAGCAACCAGGGCTCAGTGGCTCCGGCAGGCAGTCGATTGGCAACGAAGAGCAAGAGGTCTTGGTCGAACCTGCCCTCCCCGAGGTCTCGGGCCACTCGTGCGTGGAAAGCCAAGGAGGACACCAAGTCAACCCCGAAGAAGTCGTTCCGTGTGGTCCCCCAGCCGCAGGAAACGACAAAAACAATGCCACTTCAGCTGGTCTCAGCGACGAGGATTTGGCCAGACCCGATGGTCGTTCTGCAAACCCGAACATTAGAGGTCAAAGGTAAACAGAGCTGAGGGTTAATGCGTCACAAGTAATAACGCATTCATGTAATCGGTTGACTGCAATGGGGCATCAGTAATTTCCGTGTGGTTACTTTGTAGGTTTTTGTTGCTTGGTTTTTGCTTGGTCCTCCAAATGAAGCCACCTGTGACCACCGTTCTCCTTCTCCCCAAACAGCAGGCCTCCGGTTAGGGCGCCTCCCATCAAACCGTGGAGTCCCAAACCAGCGTCGCAAAAGCCCAACAAACCCAGCAGCAGCGGTAGCGGCGGCAGCGGCGGCAGCGGCGGCAGCAGCGGCAGCAGCGGTAGCAGCGGTAGCAGCGGCAGCAGCAGCGGCAGCGTCATCGCGGCATCCGTTCTGGGCCAGAGCGACATGTCCCCCGTGCTCCGATTCGCCCGCGTCTCGCTCGTGTCGCACGAGACGTGCATCAACACCTCCCGCTTCGCCGTCACGCGCGACATGCTGTGCGCTGGGCCGGGGTCGCCGGCGGGGTCAAGCGGGGGCGCCCCACAAGCGGACGCTTGCGACGGGGACAGCGGGGGCCCGCTGGTGGCCCCGCTGGTGGCACGGGGACGTGACCGTACGTGGTTCGTGATCGGCCTCGTGAGCTGGGGGGAGGGGTGCGCGTTGCCGGGCAAGTACGGGATTTACACGCGCGTCAGCCGCTACGTGTTGTGGATCGAGAGCAGCATTAGGGCAGCGGAGGCGGGACGCGTCGGTGGCAGTCGAGGAGCGTGACGATGAGAAGGGAAGGAGAGAGTGGACAGGCAGCGGGCTTTGGATGAGAGGTTAGGGGCAGCTTCTGGGTAGGCCGGGTTTTAGGAAGATGAGACCCAAAAGCCAAACGGCTCTTCTCTGTGAACTACACACTAATAATGTTACATTTTTCTCCCCACGCGATTTGATGAGTTTGTCACGACTCTGGGTGCTGATTCGATTCGAGGATTTCTTCTGGAGATGGCTTCGAGTGACTCAGAGGTGAGAGCACTGAGCTAGCATCACTGAGATCCTGGGTATGAATCTGGGTTTCTGCTGCCCATGATTAAACCGTGTTCTCAAGTCTACAGACGTTATTATCTCAGTCTGATCACATACAAAAACATATTTAGTCTGCAATTCACTTAGCTAAATTCCACCTTTGAGAATCCAAATGATAGGTTAGACTTCCACGCGACAATCTCATAGCAGTGTGGAAAAGTGCGGCTAGGACTGTCAAAAAGATAAGAGCCGTTTGATTTCGGGTTGTATCTTTCTTGACGCGCCAAGGGGTAGGATTAGGGATAGACTTAAAGAGGAAAAATAGGTTTTGGGGTCTGGTTGTGTGTGGTTTGGTTACGGATAAAGCACGCTCGCAATTACTTTGAGAGACGGGGAGAGGAGCGCATGTGACCGGGATTCACAGCATTCAGCAGCAGGGATCTATCCGAAGGGGTCGATCGAATTTCGAGAGACATCTTACAGACCGTAAGGAAACTGAGCCTGGGCCAGGCACTGACTGGATGGTACGACGGCCGATGGACAAAGGTGGCGATGGAATAGCAGCCAAAGCAGGGAGGGGTACCCGAGACGATGACCACGGTGGTGGAGATGGGGCGATGAAATCAGTTCTTGCGCAGGAGTGAGATTGGTTGTGGTATTACAGGGCCTTGAATGTTAAATATATCGTGGCCTTCATCCAGCAGTGGATAGACCAGGCTCGTGATGATGGTGATGGTTTTGGGGAAGACCTGTATGCTGTTGGCTAGTGTGGTTATGATACAACTCATCGAAATGGATTCTGAGTTATGAAATAAAAAGTAAAGTGTATTTACAACCTATATACAGGGTCTTGGGAAATGTGTTCCACATTGGAGGCTTCACACACAACACGTGTGTTACACTGTAGCTTCTCACACAACACGTGTGTTCCACTGTATCTTCACACTTATCACTGCCTTAAACATAAGCACCACCAGTATTGGTCCCCCAGGCGGACTCGAAGCTCACACAGAGAATACTCAAACCTGTCAACCCCTTATCAGTGCCCTCCCTACCTTATTGGTTCTTTCGGTAAAGTCGCGTAGAATTGAAATAATAAAATAATAAATAATAAAACATAATAAAATAACTTTGAGTTTTATAAGGGCACCACGGGGTGACCAGCCCCTCCCCACCCAGCCCCTCTTCACCCAGCGTGACCCCTCCGATTTTTGGATGCACGACGGACGGACGGACACAATAATCCCCTGTGGGCTGGTGTAACCAGGAGGTTCCTACCAGTATAATTTTACGTGATTTTTAACCACACAAAGGAATTAAACAACACGCGCTAGAAAACGTTGCATAAAAACACAGCCCAATGGAGCACACTTATATAGCCAATCTTATAAATATAAACCTATACAACAAAAACGTATAAATACAGACCCAATAGCGCGAAATGATATAGAGTAGTGTGAACAGCTGAGCTTAAGGGATAATTCCACCTCCACTTCACTCACCCTCAAAAAATAAAACAATCTCTTCTAATAAAACAATCTAATCTATTCTTACAAACTCTTTATTTAGTTTGAAAATGTATTGCAGGATTTAACACGGCGAGAACAATCCGAAAGTTAAATTATGAAACAAAAAAATACTAAAATCTCTACGTAATCATAAATTACACATTTTATCTTGAACTTCTTTCGCACCGTACGTAGCCAACCGAAGGTTTCTGAATGTTTAGTGGCACAGTGACCTGAATAAGAAATAATTATGTTAATCAAATACTTCAGGATACCCGCATGTAACTATATTGGAAATAAATAACAAAAGTATTAAAATATTGCAGTAATAATCACAATTCACACGGGAAATAACTACGTTGATATAAACATGAACTAACACAAGAATGATTTCCATACTCACCACGTCACACCAATAGTATACCCTTCAAACTACAGATTGCAGTGCAGGAGAGAGACACGTTGACCTAATGACTATTAGTGGAATAAATAAAAACGAATTGTAATAATTTAGATTTAAAAATAAAAAGGAATCGACCGAGGCGGGTCACGAATCGCCACCGTTCCGATTCCGAATCGGGAATCGATTTGTCTGCGATCGCCTCCCCTCGCCCTACTCGGTGCCACGTGACCTGCGCGCGCGGAGGAAGTTGTGACGTCACGTGAGGAGGAGCTTCGACTGTCACGGAGCGCCGGTGATGTCATAATACCCGCTGTAGTCGAACCACGTGTCGAACCACGTGCTCAAGAGGTGCCATGGGCCCAGGCGACAAACTCGAGGGCTCGAATTTATGACACTTGCGCTCAGCACCAGCTCCAGGCTCTTGGTCCAGGCTCCAGGCTCTTGGTCCAGGCGCCAGGCTCTTGGTCCAGGCTCCAGGCTCTTGGTCCAGGCTCCAGGCTCTTGGCTCAGGCTCCAGGCTCTTGGTCCAGGCTCTTGGTCCAGGCTCCAGGCTCTTGGTCCAGGCTCCAGGCTCAGGCTCCAGGCTCTTGGTCCAGGCTCCAGGCTCTTGGCTCTTGGTCCAGGCTCTTGGCTCAGGCTCCAGGCTCTTGGTCCAGGCTCTTGGTCCAGGCTCCAGGCTTTTGGTCCAGGCTCTTGGTCCAGGCTCCAGGCTCTTGGTCCAGGCTCCAGGCTGTAGATTCTGGCTCCAGGATGTCACCTCAACTCCAACTTCTAGTTTCAGTATCCAGGCTGAAGTTTTGAGCACCAGGCTGCATGCTCGAGTATATTCCGTAGCTACTCCCCGTCATGGAGGTTCAGGACTGCTGCTGCTGCTTCTGCTACTCGCAGGGATTCAGTCTTCGTCTGCACAGGCCAGCAGAGACGTCAATGCGCCTGAAGGTAAGAGCTCCATCAGAGATCCACAGGGATTCACAGCATTCAGCAGGGCTCAAGAGGGGGAATCGATGCGCCAGAGATCCAAAGGGATCAATCACATTTCCACATAAATCCATTTCCCAGGGCTCTTAACAAGGATCCACTGGAATGACAAGAGACATTTCGATTTAAAGCTTTCGTGACTGCAGGGATTCATCTTCTTGGTTCTTTCGGTAAAGTCACGTAGAAGAGAAATAATAAAATAATAAAAATAAAACATAATAAAATAATTCTCACGACGTTTCGGCCACAACGCAAGCAGCCGTCCTCAGTGTCATTCAGACGCTGTCTATCCGACACACCTGTTCTTCACCTGAGGACGGCTGCTTGCGTTGTGGCCGAAACGTCGTGAGAATTATTTTATTATGTTTTATTTTTATTATTTTATTATTTCCATTCTACGTGACTTTACCGAAAGAACCAAGAAGACAAGAGACATTTTTTTCGAATTCAGGGGCCATCCATAAATGACGTCACGTACCTAGGGGATGGGGGGGGGTCAGATATTTGTGACGATGTGTGACAGGGGGGGGGGGGGGGAGTTGAGAAATAGTGACGTCACATCAAAATGCGCAACTTTAAATAAATATAGACAACACGTTCTACTTAATTAAATAGACTTTGTAATAAATGTTTTCTCCTTCAACATCAGAGTGCAGCGCCACATTAAATACGCACTACAATGACAATAGTTTAAAGCGATTTGAAGCATGTTTTATTTTTGGGGGGGGGGCAGAGCTGTGACGTCATATTTGAGGGGGGGGGTCTGACTTTGTGACGCCGTGTGACTGGGGGGGGGGGGGTAAAAAATTGTCCAAAATCGCGTGACGTCATTTATGGACGGCCCCTTAGTAAAAAAAACTCACTAATTCAAGAGACACGATGCATGTGAATACAAGACGGCCCTTAATGTCACAAAGCAGTCGCTAACAAGAGCTGCATGCAGCTCCGCAGGTTTCCCGACCCCCTGAACTCGGGCGTCACGTGTGCGCTGTGTGTGCGTTGGACTTCTTTCGCACCGTACGTGTTGGCGGATGTAGTAGTTGTGATGTGGAAGCGGTGATGGCAGGAACGTGAAATATTTGTGAGGTGGAACTTGGTGGTTGGGTTGTGGTAATGGGGATGGTGTCGATGAGATGATAGCAGTGTCAGGAGTGGTTGTATTGATAGTGGTCATTAGTGATTATGGTTGTTGAATTGTTTGCAATGAAGTGGTTGCTGGTGTCAATTTTGGAGTTGTTTATGACATTAGTTGTGAGGTGTTGGTGGTGTTTATCGGTACCGATGGTTGTATCCGTGACATTGTGGTTGTAGTTGTGATGCGTTGCTGGTCTTTGTTGGTGGTGCTGGTATCAATGTTAAGTGTTTCTTGATCTAGGATCAGAACCTAAGGTTGGCATGATGGGCTGGATCAAGCTCATGCGCAATGCAAAGAAACCCGCCAGCACGACTGCAACCCCTGTCGCTCACACACCATCGGGTATGAAACGGACCCTGCCCCCTCCATAGTTACAAACTCGCACTAACTGTAAAGCCCAACTTTAGCCTGAATTCGAACTCGAATTCTACACCAATAATTTGCTGGTACTGCATTGGGAGTGGTGTACTACAAGCACATGTAACAAAAAAGCACCCAAGACATTCGTCAATACACTGCCAGAAAAGAAACAGATATTAGGCGACGTTTGTGATAATGGTCTTGCGGCATAACACAGAGGCCAGGGAGATCGACATTTTTCTGATGACGTTTTGAAATAAGCTTATCAAGAGTTAGTTATTCATAGTTAATGAGTAACAAACCTTTGAATAATAAACAAAAATCTATTATTCGGTAATGTCTTCTGTATTAGAACATTATAAAAAATAAATGCTGGCACAATGCATTATGGGTAGACTGTTTTTGTGAGGTCAATGCTTCATCCACTTATTGATAATTCTAAACCATAAATCTATTCATAGCTTTTTCCCCCAAACCTGCCCGAACTGTAAACCCTAACATCATCACCGTCCCTAATCCTTACCATAACCTTTAATTCATAACAAGTTATCCTGTTGATTTGCTGCTGCAAACAACCGGATAAAAATGTTAGTTTTCCTTCATCTGTGTACACAGGCTCCAACATCGCTTGGACTGTCCTCCTGTCTTCCAGCGTGTCCATCATCCTGTTCATCGGTTGTGTGGTGCAGTACCGGCGCTTAGAGCAGTAAGTATGAGTTGAGGGCATATTTATTTACATTTTCTGATCTATGCCAATGATTCAGTGTAAAAAAATTAACCCGTAAAAACAAAGTTTTTCACTATAAATCCTTTATATGCGTGGCAAATAAATTACAGTACGTGTTCAATGGGCCACAACCCAGCCCACATTGGTCTTTGTAAGGGCGGCTAGAGTCCTCTCGTCCTCTGGATTGAGATGGCTGCCACCTATGGGTCAGATGATTGCTTGCCACCATTAAGCAATTTGTAATTAAATATAAAAAAAATGTTCCTAAAATGTTGAAAATTTTGGAAAAATTTTTCACGAAAATAAATTGTCACGCACAACGAGTCTGTGTGCAAAATGTCAGCTCGATTGGATCACGGGAAGTGGGTTAAAAAACGACCGAAAGATTTGCACGGTCGTAAGCGCGGAAGCAAGCAAGCAAACTTAATATAAAGGATTTAAAAATCCTCTTCATGACACTGCATATAGGTTAGAGGTCAACTCCTCCTCCCACAAGTAACTTTGGGAGAGACACAAACCAAAACAATTGTGATCTGATATCTACACACCGAGGCTGTGTTCCTGACCATTCCAGCCAAATATTCAAGCTTCTTCAATGATGCACTTAATCTTAAAGTCGAGATCAAATGCTGCCGATATAATTATAACATCACGCTCGTACAATAATGCAGCGACGTCACGAAAGAACTATGATGCAGAGGTGGGACAAAGTCATTGTTATGCAAGTCCAAGTCGAGTCTGAAGTCATCAAATTCATGACTCGAGTCTGACTCGAGTCCAAGTCACATGACTCGAGTCCACACCTCAGAGGTGGGACAAAGTCATTGTTATGCAAGTCCAAGTCGAGTCTGAAGTCATCAAATTCATGACTCGAGTCTGACTCGAGTCCAAGTCACATGACTCGAGTCCACACCTCAGAGGTGGGACAAAGTCATTGTTATGCAAGTCCAAGTCGAGTCTGAAGTCATCAAATTCATGACTCGAGTCCAAGTCACATGACTCGAGTCCACACCTCAGAGGTGGGACAAAGTCATTGTTATGCAAGTCCAAGTCGAGTCTGAAGTCATCAAATTCATGACTCGAGTCTGACTCGAGTCCAAGTCACATGACTCGAGTCCACACCTCAGAGGTGGGACAAAGTCATTGTTATGCAAGTCCAAGTCGAGTCTGAAGTCATCAAATTCATGACTCGAGTCTGACTCGAGTCCAAGTCACATGACTCGAGTCCACACCTCTGCTATGATGAAGCGCCTGTTGTTTTTTTTCCTCTCCACAATTTTATCCCAAGTGCAGTCAGCATGACGCCATCAGATGAAGCCTCCATCCATCCTCTTGCAGAGCAATAATAATTATAATTTAAATGTATAAAGCGCTCTGAAACAAGCGTTTCTCAGAGCGCTTGAGCAGTGCCTCGTGGTCCATCATAGAAAATTGCCAACGAAAGCAGATATTACAGCAACACCGAAATCACTTCACCGTGACCTTTCATCTACACTCGGAGGGGAATTATTTTCCATCTGTCGCATTGGAGAGCAATGCTCTACACGAAAAATCCAAAAAATGTTTTAATGATCAGAAATGCAATTTGGCTAAGATAATCAACTTACTAAACGTGACAGCACCGTTTTTTTTTAATCACAGGCAGCTGGAATCAAACTTACGGTCTTAGCAGTGCCCGATCTTTAAGCAACTCAGCCACCTCGAACCAGTCATTTAAAGCAAAATCACTGAATGAGCTTCAAAGTAATTTGGGATTTTCTGGAGTACATCGTTGGAGTTTGTAGCTAAGAACCTATAAAAGCAGTGCACAGAAACCTAGGACCTCCCGGTTAAGACCGCACAAGCTGAAAAAATAATAGGTTTAACACCTGTTTTATTGCCAGAAAGGGTAAACCCTATTCTCTTTTCATACTTTTGATACTTGCAAAAAGGCCCCATTTTGTAGCTGCTCACCCCGAGCTATAAATGCTGATGGGGGCATTGTCTTTGTGCCGTCCGACTTTTGGCGTCGTTCTCTGGTCTGACTGGTGGTGAGACTAGGCCCTAAAGGCTGTCTCTGGTGTAGGCCAATCAGCTTCAAAGACAATGCATTTCTTCTCAGAGCATGTTTGTTTGTATGTTCACCACAAGTACGTGTGGTTAATGCGAAAACGATTCCTTGCAAAAGGTTTCTAGTTGGTGTTTGAACATCTTAACGCCTGTTTCATTGCCATAAAGGGTAAAAATCTAGATTTGAAGCTTTCGTGACTGCAAGGATTCATATTCTTAGGTTTTTTCGGTAAAGTCACGTAGGTAAAAAATTTAAATTAATAAAAGTAAAATAAAAATCACGACGTTTCGGAGGCAACACAGGTTCCACCTGAAGATGGAAGCTTGTGTTGCCTCCGAAACGTCGTGATTTTTATTTTATTAATTTTAATTTTTTACCTACGTGACTTTACCGAAAAAAACTAAGAATATAAAGGGTAAAACTTAATTCTTGTTTTTTTTATACTTTTGATACTGGCAAAAAGGTCCCATTTTGTAACTGCACAAGCTGTGTGTTTACAGCCCAACAAGCGAAACCTTCAACGTCTGAAGCGTCACCTTGGATTTCTCTCTGTGCTCTGCCAGCAAGTACTCTGAATTGGCCGAGGAAGACGGTGGTGAAGCCGGAGAAAGAGGGGCAGATTCCAACGAAGAGACGGAGGAGACGCCACGCTCTGGGTGCATGGCAGCGCTCACGGCCCTCCTGACGACCTTGGCACAATCCTTCAAGCCTGCCAATCCGGGGAACGGCAGCAACACAGCAGGGGCCGAAGGCAATGACAACCTCAACCAGGGCACTATGAATGGCCACAAGAAACCCAAGTCAGGTGCGGAAATAATGTGTTTTGCAGGTCACCTTCATCATGGCACTACTGCAATCATGAATGGCAGATATTTGAATTGTGGAATTGCCTACATTACTAAATCGGGTCAAGGTGTAGGATGACGTTTAACAAATCTAAAGAAATGTTCACATCGAGGCTGGAGCTCAGTTATTTTTGTCTAGGATAGTGTTGTGGTGTTAACTACTCGCTGTTCGCAAACTGAAAGAGCGGATCGTAAACAAGGTTTTCCCGCTCAATCAAACGGTCAGGGTCAAATGGGGTGAGGTAGGACCCAAACGCCAGATTGGGAAGGACCAATCGGAGGGTTCCACAAGGTGGCCGGGGATTGGACAACCCAGCCACGAACAGGTATAAAAGCCAGAGCGCTGAGAGCTCTTGGCCAGTTCTGCTACACGAAGACCCAAGTCGGCCGAAGACATCAAGGACCCTGGACCAAGCCCTCCAGCCCTTATCAGGGCTAGGGCTCAGAGTAACCAGTGGTCGGGGAGAGATCCCCTAGGTCCAGCCAGAGGACGCTGAGATAGCAGGGAGATTAGATAGCCTGCAAGGCCCGGAGGCTGTGTCTCCTCAGGGTAACGGGTGAGGGGACCATATACCGCTTAGTGTGATAGGGGCTGTGTATTAAGATAATAAACAGTGTGTGCCATAAAGAAGTTTAGAAGTCCGTCCTTTACAACACTACAATAGCATTTAATGAAAGCCGTTTAATTGATGTCGCAGCCACTATTTGTGTTCAGCCATGGGGCTCTTACGTCGAGATGGGCTGTGGTTTTTCTCCACAAGGGAGGGGGGGCCCCCATGCCCCACCGGCCACGGTTTCTTTTAACATGCCGTTCTGTTGCTGGTCTGTGGCTCTTTGCAGAAAAAAAGAAGGCCAAAGTCACCAGCATCTTGGCAAAGAAGAAGACACAGTTGAAGAAGCTGCACAAAAACATGAAGGCAGCGTTGAAAAAGAAGATGTCCAAGTTTAAGAAGAAGTAGTTCGGCCCAGCAGAGAACACGACCTGCCATGACCTTACCCTCCAAACGCATCCATTCTCCAATAACTTAGGCAACGATCCATCAGATGAAGGATTATGGGAGCGCCGATGTTTGGAGTTCTGCTGGACATGTTTTACACACACACACACAAGACGTCTACCTACAAACCCTACTCATATGTACACAAAGATACACACGTACACAACACATATGCCAACACGTGCGCACGCATCGCTCACAAACACACTACCCATATGTACATATGGACACACATCACCACAAACTACGGAAAATGTAAAAATAAAAAGTGTACCCTAAATTGTTTTAAGGCTTGTTGGAACATTTCTGTTTAACACTGCATATGGATCACCACATGTCTAAAACATTAATTCGGCGACGCCTTCACACTTGTCACTACCGGTCGTTACTCTTGTACTATTACCGTCATTTCATGCGAATAAATGTCCATGGAATGACCCACAGGAAGCAATATCAATGAACTACTGCTGGAGAGTCATTAAATTGGCCTAATCTATCCACACTCGGCGGCGCTGAACTTTTCCGCACACCTGGCCAAAGAGAAACGTTCACCGAATGGCAGTCTGATAAAAAAAAATATTTTGGACCTGTACTTTGGCAGTGTCGTCAAATCCCCAATTTAATGCGACCGTTCTTCGTACAGCCACTTGGCATTCCGTGTTACCCGCTACACTAGAGAACCCAGTGTAACAACGGGCGGATGAAACCTTGAAATCACGGATCTTCAAGCAACATTCCTCGGGCTTCACAATTCCCAGATGCCTTGGCCCAAGACATTCCCACAATCTTCCAAGTGCTCATCAATGACGAAAAGCTCAAAAAAGTGTAAACGCACATCCCCACCACCTTAAGTCAATGACGGATTAAACATTAAAATGTACACAGACCTTCCCGTCTGGTATAGTGGCAATGAGAAGACATACATCATCAAAACAGGGCATTTCCATTTTTATAAAATGTTTAAAAACATGCTAGAAGGACAATCAAGTATCAATATTTATTGAATCATATAAAAGTTTTTTTTTTTACAAAGCAAATGCAAAGTACAAGTGCTTACAAATAACAAATTTTCTCTCAAAAATATCAAGTTTTCCTTAAAAAATAATGTACAAATGTTCAGAAACGGCTTTCAACTGTACATACCACAACATCTCTCACAATCGCAGTAAGAGGCAGAAAAACAATATTCACTCACAATACATTTTACATTTCAAATTTTTATATATATAATATTGTTTACATTACACAACTTACCAAAACCACCTCTCATGAGTACATTACAGCCAAAAAAAATATGGCTCAGGCACAAACAAAAATTATGGCCAGAAAAAAGAAAATAATCTGTAAAAAATTTGAGCGTGTGTCCGAAAAAAAATAATTCCATACTCAAATCAAAAACAGCTGAACCTATTTGATGTCACTGGCTGGATCAGCAGTTGAGCAATGGTTGGGGAATATCAAATTGAGGCCTGGGTCCGTTTTTGGAAGGAGATCGACAGGAACTGCTTCGCCAGATGGTTACCTTTCTAAATCACAACGTATCGACGACTGAAGGGGGTTCCGAGGGAGAAACCCAGCGACGGTTGCACTGGGAGAACGGAGACAGTGTTTTGTCTGGAGCTAAGTAGGTGGGGAAGTGGCTGTCCAGGGACAAACCTTGGAGAGAAGATTATTTTAAAAAAGAAAAAACGTGGGCTGCGATGCAGTCAGGAAATGTGCAGGGCTACGCATCGAGAAACATAAACAGTGTTTAACATTCGTGACGGCTGATTGACCAAAGCAGCACTTTTTAATTTGTGCAAAATTTGTGTATTTTTGAATTTCATTTCTATCTTTTTAAAAGGAAATAAATAAGAGGGCACACAAGACAGCAACACCGAGTGCTGTACCCGGCCCCCAATGTCCTTTACACAGACACGGGGCCCACCACTCCCCTCCTCCACGTATAATTGCAGGCCCCACCACCAGATTTCCACTGAGACTCCCCGATGCCACCATCTCTTCCAAGCAGTATGGATACGGTCAAAGATTCACCCCGACCCACCCAGCCACATCAAGCCCTTCCATCTATCATCTTGATCACAGGCTGCCACGTCAATTCACTGCCATTTGTGCAGTTCTCCCTGTCCCACTCTGTAGCTCGCCGACAAACCTCTCCCCTCTGCACCCCCTTTGGTTGCAGAGCCTCGTTCCCTTGCATGGCGGACGAACCCGTCGGCTCTCCTCGCTTGCGCACCACCATTCTCTCCGTGCCATGATGACGGGAGGAAGTTGGCAGCAACCTCGAATTTTTTTTTTACTCACTCCTCAGCGCTCCTGCAAAATTTTGCCTCGGCACGTCGGCCCTTCCGCGCTGCGGGTTTTCCATCGCGCGTCCGGACCAAGCGCCCACTTTGGCGGCACGGCTCCCGGGCGGTCGTATTTCACACGATTCCAAGCTGCTCTCTCTCTCTCCTTCTCAAGAACTCATCTTTTTGAGGACAAAACAAAAGCCGCGTTTGGGAGGAAGGCGGCGCCGCCGCGCCTTCTCCAGGTTCCGGGCCAGTGCATCTCGGGCGCTGCCATCACCTGCTGTTGACGTGGTTTGGCAACGGGCACGTGGGTTTCGGGATGTCAGTCTTGCCCGTCCGTACACGCTGCATGGCCTCTTCCAGCTGCTGGATGAGCACGCGCTTCTTGAAGCTGCACGGGGCAACGGTGACACCGAGTGAGCATTTGGCGGCATCAGCAGCAGCGGGCGACGCCATGCAATTTCACCCTTTCCCGTTGCGATGGCGTACGTGCGCGTCATCAGTTATTCTTCCGATTCCATTCCGATTATGCAAGTGTACATCGTGAACACAAAACCGGGAGAAAAACGAAATTATCTTTATCGGTACCGAAGCAACCACAAGGCCGTGCGGGAGGACGTGTGGCACAGTTTGGCGCCAGCTATCAGAGTGTGGTCGTGTCGCTACAGTTCTCTGTGGGGAGTACAATGTCTTTAAAAACAACGGCGCTACGCCAGTTCAGACCTTATTGGTCACCCCGTGCCCTTATAAATTTCAACATTCAACCTACAAAGTCCCATCACAAGGGAGAAACAAAAAAATGGACAAAAATATTTTTTTGCCCGTATTGAAATGGCCGTACGCCGTATGGAGCTGAAAATGTTATTTCCCTGTAAAAGAATAAGGGGTCAAACCGTATGGGTTGACAGGGATGCAACTCTCGGTCAAAGGGTAGGGGGGGGTAAGCACTCACCGGGATGCCTCCCGTATCACGTTCTGAATGAACATCACTTGCAGATCGGTGCTCCCTCTCACCAGCTCCAGGAGGCTGAAGATGTGCTCGTAATCTGGCCACAACCGACAGCACACCACACAAGCTTCCTGGTTTATTTTACCAAAGTGAGTGGCGATATGTTAACCACCTCGCCTGGTATGGAAGAGGTTGTGGGTTCGATCCTGACCCTGACGCATGCACGTTCTCCCCGTGGTCGCGTGGATTTTTCTCCGGGTCCTCCGGTTTTTCCGTCCACATTAAGAGACATGCGTTTAGAGTATTTGGCTGCTAGAAATTGCCACTTCGTTGAGCTATCATTTGTGGCCAGGTTGCTCCTGAAAAACAGCTATATCACTCAGTGGACCTTACCTGGTAAAAAAAAAAAGTTCAGTTCGTAGCTTAGTTTAGAGTCCTTACTGGGCCCTTAAGACAAATTTTTCCAGCAAAATAATTGCCAATTTCCATAAATGAGAGTTTGGCTACCACGTATGAGAACATCTAAGTACCCGGAGAAAAGCCACAGACATGTACGAGAGCGGTAATCCTCAAAGCTTAGCAAATTTCTTTTGGGATTCAATTCATGCAACTGCTCTCTTGGTCACCAACAACCACCATTCGACACCAAGTGGCGGTGACGTCACCACGGCGCTTGTGCCAGGCTATGTGCACATTAAGGCCACGTGAAGTGTCCAACGCCCGCCGCAGGAGGTCACGGGGCAGACCCAGGTTGCCATGGGTCGACTGATTGAGAGGACTGCCCGATGCACCACCTGTGCCCCTTACTGTGCCAACTTGGTCACCTCACAGCAACACACATGCAATAGCAGGTCACAATTCGTGACGACCTATCTAAATACCAACCCAACTCAGCTTCCGAGATTCTACGAGTTTGGGCACATTTATGGTGATTTAATCGTAGGGACTCATTGCAAATTGGCACTGTTGCATTTACTGGACGCGCAAATAATTATTTTGGCACACAAATCTCCGATTATTTTTTTTCCGTGCAGTCACTAATGAATGGGCTGAGAGGATCCGATTCACTACGAGATCTGAATTTAGTCCACCAGTTCCAATTAGTCGTGGGGGAAAAGTTTTCCAGGTTGCGGAAGTAACCGTTGCTTGCGAAAAAAATAACAGAATACTTCTTCGTGTGCCGGCATAATTATTATTATTAACCGCTTCTGGCACCTTGTGGGTCCGTGACTGTGTCCACATGACCGCAAACACTGGCAGGTAAATGGATTCGTAAAAAACATAACAATACAGACGATACATTCTGTGTTCACCCCAATTCTACGTAGGTAAACTAGAACCTTGTGTTTTCACCCATGCGAATATAAATATTCTGATGTAGAACTTCTTTCACGCCGTACGTAGCCACCCGTGCTAATCGTGGGTGCTAATTGGAGACACGCGCGTGCCCTTACATAACACACGACGCTTTTCAACGAAGGTCGAAAGCTTTTCATGTATTAGCACCCTCCCCCTCCTGTCTGTCTGTAACTACGGTGGCACCGAGCGGGACCTACTTCGGCCGGGCTTGCGGATCTCCCGCACCACCTTGCCCCAGATCTCGTTGTTGGTCTCCCGCACTTTGGCCGCCTTGATCTCCGTCTTCCCGCCCAAGCCGTCTGTCGCTGCGGCCACGCGGCCTCGCGTCTCTCGCAGGGAGTTTGCGGCGTGGTTCTCGGAGGAGGCAAGGCCCTCATCGCCGCCGCCGCCCTCTTCGTCTTCCTCGTCCTCCTCGTCGGTGGCGAGGCCGGCACCCACGTGGTTTTCCATTTCGGTGGCGGCGGCAGCGGCGGGAGAGATGGCAGGCGCCGGCGGCAACGGAACCGCTGGCTGGGAGTTGGCGTTGGGCAGGTCGTCGGAGCTGATGTCGACGATTTGATTGTTCAGCTCCGTCCCTGCGAACAGTAAAAGCAGCTCGCAAAAACTCGTACACACATGGCGAGTACATGGATCGAGTAAATACATTCGAACCCGAGCTTGCCGACGAAAGCATTTCATTAGTGGGAGCGAAGCCGACAGGCAGCCGTAAGAGCAAGACATGTTTGCACATTTTAAAAGTCTTCCTTGGGTTGCTTTGTGTTTCCAAGTTTTGGGAGACCCTTTGGTCAATATCTTCAGGCTACAATCGGGTGAGTCTGGAATAGGCACGCGACTTGACGCTATATTTAGTTAATATTGGCTCCTCTTTACAAGAGTTATATAAAATAAAAAACAATAATTGTAATAAATCATAAACAAACATCAATCTGTCTATGTAAAATTAAGTGTATTTTAAGAAGGCCAAGTGGCTCCCACAAGTTTGGGTAACAAGCAAATACCACAATGACCCCGGGTTCAAATGCATGATTGGGTTCCTAAATTGTGGGAGTCAATGATCTCAGCCGAGTCATCAATGACCGCACGACAAAAACTACTACGTAACATTTGTGGGTTTCATTACCTAAATTCCAGCTCTGAGAATTCGACATTTTGGTTTGATTGACGCGTGAAGGACGCACTTTGCAGGGCATATAAAAGTCGTCCTCCCCCTGGAACGAAGTCTAATATCATTTAATTCAGAAGTAGTTCAACGATATAGCCCTTTCACAGACCGTTCTCCGACAGGGTGGTGGGGGGGCTCCTGCGAGCTGCAGGGTTCCACCAAATAGATTTTTTCTCAATTCACAATGGCTCCCCATGGCCCTTCCAGAGGAATGTTTTTGGAGCAGCATTTATAAAACACAATAACTGGGGACCAGTTGAGACTTTCGGAGTCTCATCAGGCCCGTTCAACAAATGCTGCCGTGTTGCCAACATTATGATTGGCAAAAGTCATCGACCAACCTCAATGGGTCCACTCAGCACACACATTACAGTAAAACTAAAAACTCATTATGCGTCATCATGGGAGAAATATACAAAAAAAAATCTACGTATTATATAAACACTCATTAACTCTTGTGACCTCAAGTCTGATCCGATTAGAAGTTGCCACCTCGGTTGCCCACGAGAGGAGCAGCAGAAATAGGATTTCTATATTTAGTTAATATTGGCTCATCTTGACAAGTTATTAGGGCCTGCCCCTGTGAGTTACATAAAATAAAATAAACAATCATTGTAATAAATCAGAAATAGGATTTCTGCTGCTCCTCGAAAGAACCAGAGAGTATAGAAATAGGATTCTTCGAGATTAGGGGAACACATTTTTTTTTACAATAGAAGATGGTGTGAAAAAAATGTTCTACTGAATATTGGCAGCAACAATTAATTCCCCTGAAATGTCCATGTTTGTCATGGCCTGTTCTAGAAACAAATTACCGAGAATGTGCACAATCCTGTTAGAGCTTAGAAACGAAGCAGGCTTCTGTAGCGGTTACAGGTGGTGGGGGCAGCCGAGGACACAAACCTCGATTTGTGGACTGTACTTCTATTGCTCCTACGTCAATGCACTCCAACAAACACTGACCAGTGTGGTCAAATAACCCCCGTGATCTGCACCGCGGAGGCAGGCCATCACCCAGCAGCGAAGAGACAAATGGACTGTGTACACGTGTCATGTACAGACATTAAGGCCATGATGGTGTACATTGTTGGTCTTGATGCACGCGCGCGTACATTGTACACGCACGCATCGCCACCACAAGTAAAACTCCGTTTTTAAGAGCGCCATTCACACAAGGCCTCACAGTGCTTTACAACACAATCCCAGTAAATAACCCTGGCGGAGCGTCCCTCACGGACCGGGGCAAGACATTCCACAAACAAGGCACCCAACTACTGAAAGCTCCATCACCCATTGAACACAGATTTGTCCTTGGTACCACTCAGGTCTCACGGAGCCAAGACATGCAAAGCAGAAGGAGGGGGGAGGACAGAGAGAGAGCGAGCGAGCGGAGGGGGAAGCAGCCGCGGCCGGGCACACCACCTCGAATGGCCACGGGCTTGATGAGGTTCGGCTGGCTGGGCTGGGCGGGCGTGGCGAGGATGGTGGGCGGCGGTGGCGTCGTCGGCGTGCAGGCGGCGCCGCGTCCCCCCCCCGCCGCCACCCCCCCCACCACGTGGTTCGCCAGCGAGGCGGGCGGCGCGAGGGGCCGCGGCCGAGGGGGCGGCAGCGGAGAGGCGTTGCGCCGTCGCTTCGAGGGGCTCTGCGCGCCGCCGCCGTCGCCGCCGCCGCCGCCGCCCGGCCGCTTCGAGCGGTTCTGCGGCCCCGTGACGAACTCGTCCGCCTCGTCGATCATCATGCCCTGCGCGCAGAAAAAACAAAACAGCATTGCAACAAACGTTGACCGAGAGAGCCGGCCGGGCAGAGGTCTGACAGCCGAGCCACCACCGCCGAGAGATCCTGGATTCCGATCCGGCTTTCAGCTTCCTGGGATTAAACCAGGTTCTCAAGTGCTTTGAGAAGTGATGGACTCGCGCGCAGGGTGCGAGACTGAGGGTGGTGTCGCGAAACTAGCAAGCTCGTGATGAGCGTGAGGAGGCCATCGTCCAGCAGTGGATATAAGTTGGCGATGATGGGTGCACCTGCGAGGGAGGAGGTGAGATTCTTTCGCGCGCGGAAGCGAGACGGATCGTGAGGCAGATCGTAGCAATGACGTACTAACAGTGATGGCGGCATGGGCGGGCCTTCATCCAGCAGCGGATAGACAACGAACAATGATGATGGGGGGGGGGGGGCTAAAGGGTCTTGAACCGCGGCGTATGGGATGAGACGGGGTGGGGGTCGTTGGGCTGGGTGGGTGAGGTTTGAGGCTTACCTTCTTGTCCAGCTTGAAGGGGTTGCCGAACGTGTGCAGCCTCTTGGGCTGGTCGGGGTCGATCTCGCGAAGCGGCGAAGGCTGCTGCTTCAGGAACTCCTGGTAGTTCCCCATCTGGGCCACCGGCACACTGTGCATCTGGTCTGCAGGGGACCGCTCGCGGCGGAACAAGAGGAGACGGCGCGCGCGCCGAGTCACGTGCGCGTCGACGGCACCGGGCGTCTCGCCGGCCGGTGGCGTGCTCGCAAAAAATCACAAGTTACAACGTGCCAGAGGGGGAGCAATCACACTCGTCTCAGGAAACGGATTTGACGTCGCAGAAATGAATTTTTATTGTGTCACGTAAAATGTATCGAAACGGAAATTTCCATCAAGACTAGTTTTTTTTAATATTAAGATGTTTTTAAAATGAACGTTAACAATGTCTCCGTTACGTTACAACCTAAGCGCTCCAATACGTGTTTTGGCACTGGGTCTTACCATCCCCACGGTAACCCATTGACTGCAGATCAAATGACAAATGTAAGCGTTTAACCACCTTCAAATTGTCAACCTGGAAATGCTCGTATGAGAAAGAAGAGACTGCCTACTAAACACGAGTGCTCACCCAAACCAAAGACTTAAAAACTTAACCACTACACTGTCAATACATCTGACATCACAGGCTGGCAGACAGTGTGTCGCGATTACATTCTCATGCTTGTACTCGACTCCCAGGGGCTAACGTGGAGCAGGCTTCCCCAGCACATGCTGTGCACCACAACGCAGGCAGTGACATGAATGATGAATGAGCTTGCGATTATTCATACAGCGCTCTCTCCATCGGGGAACAAAACGTCTCCGAGCACAGAGCCCCCTTATTGGCAGATGTCCCCGTGGGGCCACAGGGTAACTCGGCACCTGGCTCGGCAATGGCAGTAGAGGGCAAGGATTACTACGTGACCAAGTTGTTCGGTGATTTTCTCTATTGTTTGCAAATTTGAACAGAGACTGATTCCGTGGAAATATATTTGTTTTAGTTATGAGAGGAAATCGTGAGAACCCGGTAGGAAACCCATGCAGAACAGGCGGAGAACATCATCAATTCCACGCAGAAAGACGGCAGAGTTAGGAATCGAACACTGGCACTTGTTGCTATCATTTGACTCCCCCCCTTCTATGAAAACGAGGCGAGCAGACTCGAGTGGCTGCGATGTCACGAGGGGCCACACTATAGCATGTTTCTTGAGAGTCAGCTGGCCGAGATTTGTTTATCTAAGCTTCACACTCAGGCGGGGAAGCCCATATTCCACAGCTCAAGTGTCCATTAACATAGCACCAATATAAAATATTATTGGTAACGTCCTATATCAGAATTTCAAGACTCATTTAACAATAATTTGCACTTATTGTTCACCTTTAACAACGTGTCAAGGAGGTTTCTGAATTGGGATGTTTGGCGAAATTCGTGACTGAGTGTTTGGCATGTGGGTAGAAACCAGAGTACACTGAGAAAACAAAGCAAGCCACCAGCAGAGTAACAACCTTAACGTCCTGCGGAGATAGTCAGGAATACTATCGAACAAAGACGGTCACTGCATCTCATGCTTTCAGATGCGCTTCTGCGGCTGTCTGGAACTATGCATTTTAAAATCTAGATTAAAAAGTCATTTCTTTAGAATCACTTCTTCTATTTAGTTTGTTGTCCTTCCCCCGCACCTCCGATTATCACGGTTGGTGCGAAAGAAGTTCAACATACCGTCATACATACCTGGTATATCCCAGTCACCCTCAGACCAAGTCAGGGCCCAAATCCCAAATTCTAACCAACCCACTGTTACCAGCATGAAGTATGACAAAGCAAGCCCTATGTGCCGCACCTCCGATTAGCTCGGTTGGCTACGTACGATGCAAAAGCAGTCCAACGTACATGCAACGCACGTGCATGTTTAAGTGACACAAGCGCTGCACGTGCACGCCACCACCCACCCTCGTCAGTGCTGCGCAGGGCTCCGTGCGGCGTCGTGGCCGCCCGCAGAAGGTTGGCCCTCATGCGAGTCAGCTGATCCAGCAGCCCCCGCCGAGAGATGTCGTACGCATTCCGGAACGGCTGCGGCTTCACCTCCTGCAGAAGGCGCGCGGGGGGCGGCGCGTCAGAGGGAGAAGTCAGGTCAGAGTGCATCGAATTGAGACGTCGTCGCGAATCGGAGAGCGATATCGGACGAGAGCGTTGGCACGCGGTCGTTTGGGATCCCCTCGCGCCGCATCGGAGAGCATCGGGGCTTCGTCTCGGTTCGGGGGGAGCCCCTCGCCGTGATCTTCACCCTGGTGAGAAGCTAACCCCCCCTCCCCCAACAGTTTCCAATGACGTACGTGGACATTTCCTTACAAAATAAAAACACAAACGACCTAAAGCCACCTCCTTCGCGAGAGCGCCGTCAGCGCCGCCACCACCGCCGCCGGCCTCACCTTGTTGAGCACGGCGATCTGAAAGCCGGGGAAGTCCTTAATGTCGGCGTTGTGGCGCGCGGGGGCATCGCCCGCCAGCCCGGCCAGAAGTTGCCGCAGCTCCCGGCGCTGCGAGGAGGAGGCGGCCGTGGTGCCGCCGCTGCCGGCCGCGGTGCGCGTCCGCACCTTGAGGCCGGCCTCCTGCGGCGCCCGCTTGCCCACGGAGCTGATCACGCGCTCCGACTCGAGCTTGGCCTGGCAGCGCGCAGGGGGGCAGTGACACGAGTGGAGGGCGCGCGTCAAATCGTGAATTCACTACCCTGATGAAGCTCCAAGCTCAAAGCAGCTTCATCCTGTAATGGAAAATACTTAAGCCACCTGGGGTAAGTAGCAGAGCTTAATTGGTCAGAAGTTAATAAAAACATTGGCCTGTGTAAATTAACATCTTCGTAAACGTGGCACCACGTCACGAGATGAGGAATCCGTTCGGAACTCTCGCAGAGCAGCGCCATGTCATAGAGACCAACAAGCGACAGTGTTTAAAGTATTAATTTAGAATGTTTTGAGTTTGCTGCTGCGAGCTCATTTTGCTGCTATAAATGTCCAAATAATAAGACACTTTGTTGAGCCATCATTTGTGGCCAGGTCGCTTCTAGAACATAAGTTGATACCTTAGTGGGCTTTGCCTGGTAGGATGGGGATGGTTTAGTTGTATGTGTTTGGATGATTTTCTTACCTTTCTTGTACTCTGCACTACTATCGTATTTTTGTCATATTTGTCGTTGTAATGATCTTACTGTACATCTGTGAAAAAGAGCTTTATAGCTCAACGGATTCCTCCAGTATAAATATTCTGATTCTGATATAGCTGTGAAAAACAACCACCAAGCAAGCCGTCTCTCCGTTGCTGTTGGGGCTGGTACAGGTAAGGCCAAAAAGCCAAACCAAAGGGTAAAACGTAGGGCGTTGCCAGGCTTAAGTAAAACACCCGGTAAGCAGCTTATCCGGAGCATCGGTGGTGACGATTGGCAGAACTTACGGTGGTCGTCAGCCCCACCCCTCAGCTCACCTGTTGACTCAGCTTCTTGAGGTAGGTGATGACGCTGTAGCTAAGCGTAAACTCCACGTTCTCCGCTATCAGGTTAGGAGCACCCATCATCCGCAAGGCTTTCTTTAGGGGCTGTGCGCACAAACAAATACGATACAATTTGTAAACACAGGACGTTTGTCGCAGCCGATGCTTACCATTAATTATTGATTTTGTGGTTAGGTTCACAGTGACAGATCAAGCCAAAGTTTTGTCATGAAATCCCCCACACATAGCCAGACAAATTAATTATTTCGTGTACATAAAAAGGGTAAAATGCCTGCAAGTTCGGCTTCAGGTGGACATTTACATGATGCAGCTGTCACCGCCTGTGCATGTGGTTCCTGCGGTGTAACCTCGTGTGCGCGACAAACACTTCGTGAACCGAGAGCTCACGTACCCCCAGGTAGTAGGGAGGCATCGTCTTTAGGTAGCTGTCAAAGGACTGTCGCCACTTCACTGGAGGCTTCAGCTTGTGCACCTTGAAGAGGTCATCTACACAAAGACACAAAACGGACAAAGCTCCCCGGTAAAGCCCTAATAGACTGTAGGGGCAAGTGCTCTTAGCGAGCATCTATGATACATGCACACACACACAAAAACAGCTATACTGGTAGGAACCTCCTGGTTACACCAGCCCACAGGGGATTATTGTGTCCGTCCGTCGTGCAGGGAGGGGCTGGGTGGGGAGGGGAGGGTGGGGTGGGGAGGGGTTGGGTGGGGCTGGGTGGGGAGGGGCTGGGTGGGGAGGGTGGGGCTGGGTGGGGAGGGGCTGGTCACCCCGTGGTGCCCTTATAAAAATCAACGTTTAACCTACTCACGCCGGCTTGTGCCCACCCTCACAGTCGGGCATATTTGCGGAATACACCACGCCGCCGTTGACCCTGCAGGCCATTGACTGAGCAACCCAACGTTGCTACCAGCTCCCTCCGCAGGAATGTGTTAAGACGAGTGCATAGAAATTTGCACACAGACTTGCACAAGCGCGTGCACACGCTCGCACCACCCCTTACCCTCGCCACCACACAGACACACACACACACTCTCGGATGTGTTCCACTTACAATATTACACATTCAATTTGAATATCCTGCGCTAATAATTTTCTTCTACACGTAAAACGCTCAGTGTGCAACTCATCCGGACCGCTGGGCACTGCTCGTAATACGGATGGGCAAGGGAACGCCGTCGCGCACAGGGGGAGGGGAGGCGGCTGGCGTGGGAGGGGGGGGCAACGCCGTACCCAGGAGCGGAAGCAGCATGGGGAAGTTGTAGGGCATAACGAAGAGGTTGACGCAGGTGAGCGAGGTGCTGGCCTTCAGGTAACCGAAGGGGTGTCCCAACTCGCTGTACTTGCCGCTGTTGCTCACAAACACCTGCCGGGAGGAACGGGCGGACGAGTGAGTTGCACAGGGCACCAACGGACAGAGAACGGGCATTGCACATAGCGACATCACTCCCTACGGGCAGACTATATCAATCTACGAAACAGCGATTTTGTGAAAGCCCTGCACTGTCAAGAATGGTGCGAATACAAACTTACTAATCAACTAGTATAATTAACAGGCTTGCACTTGTTTCAATCAAACAATCCGTTTAATTAAATTAAACAATCTGTGCATTCAAACATCTTTTTGTCTGCTCAGACATGGCGCCCCCCCCTCCCCCGACCAATTCCCCACCGACTCTACCCCCCACCCGCCATTCATCATCTTCTCACCTGCCAACAGGTGTGCGGAGACTTGCGCTCGAGGATGAACTGCGTGAGAGGCGAGGGCTCCAGCTCGTACTTGTCGAACGGGAGCTTGTCGATCACCATGGGCTCGCCGTCCGTGCACGAGAACTTGACCACGGGGTGCGCCGTGCGCGGGGGCTGCACGCAGCATGGCCCATGGAATAAAAAAAACAACACGCTCGCTCGGATGTCGTTTCAGATTTCATTATAAAGACAATAAACTATTTTTTCTTTTTCGATTTAAAGCTTTCGTGACTGCAGGGATTCATATTCTTGGTTCTTTCGGTAAAGTCACGTAGAAGGGAAATAATAAAATATAAACATTCTCACGACGTTTCGATTGCAACACAAGCAATCATCAGGTATGAAAACCAAAGCAAGAAAATTTTTAATACAAACCGCCTCTTTTTTCAAAATGTTCTTGCTTTGGTTTTCACACCTGATGATGATTGCTTGTGTTGCAATCGAAACGTTGTGAGAATATTTTCGTTATATTTGTATTATTTTATTATTTCCCTTCTACGTGACTTTACCGAAAGAACCAAGAATATTTTTTATTTCACCAGGTAAGGCCGCACTGAGCTTATCGTGTGGGAATTTATAGCAGCCAAATTAATAAAAGTAAAATAAAAATAAAATAAAAATCACGACGTTTCCGAGGCAACACAAGCTTCCGTCTTCAGGTGTTGCCTCCGAAATGTCGTGATTTTTATTTTACTTTTATTAATTTTAATTTTTTACCTACGTGACTTTACCGAAAAAACCTAAGATTAGGATCATAACGCATCGCTCCATCTCCTTGGTCGACATCGTCTTCTCAGGTGTTTTTACCTCCTTTTTGGCTGCCACTGTCGTTTTTTTTATTAATTTAAATTTTTTACCTATGTGACTTTGCCAAAAAAAGTCACATAGGTAAAACCTAAGAATATGAATTCTTGCAGTCACGAAAGCTTCAAATCTAGAACGTTATGATCCTGTCTAGGGGCAAGATGGATTTCTGCATCGTAAGATAACGAATGCTGATGTATGTATTTAGCTGCTATATATTTCCACGTGATAAGCCACTTTGTTGAGCTATCATTTGTGGCCAGGTCACTTCTGAAAAAGAGCTATACAGCTCAGTGGGCCTTGCCTGTAAAATAAAAATAGTCCAAAAGTGTAGCTTAATGTATGTTTGACTTCTTTCGCACCATATATAGCCAACCGTGCTAATTGGAGGTGCGGGGTAAGAATTAGTTTTCAATCGAGATTGATGATGACAGGATGATGGCTATATTTTTGCAGTATCCATTATTCTGGATGTAAAACAACAGGCTGGGGGAGGTTCATCCAGAAACCATTAAAAGAGTCTTGGTAAAAAAAGAGACACGATGCAGAGACCATATTTTTGTTGTTGCTGGGGCAGGGACGAGATTGCTGAAGACATGTTAAAAAACTCATCCATTGTCTACGCAGCAAGCGGGAGGTCACAAGCATCAGTCGCGCTGCATCAACAACTCTTCCATCACAGGAGAGACGTCCGCCAAGTCTCGCGTGGTAGCTTCCGTTGCGTTAAAAAAGGTCGCCGGGCTCCCACTTGGCGTAGATTTTGGGGGCGGGGGGGGCAGTAGTGGTGAAGGGGAAGACCCAATTGCGACACATCGGCGGACACGTTTGCCCTATTTTTGTAAATCTTTGTTTGTCCTGGTAAACATCCGTTCCTGGAGAGATTAGCGCAGCAATTACTAAATCGAGATCGCAAAGTGTCAAAATAGAACTTCGGTCATTTATAACCTCACACTCGCATTTATTTCCCATTTATTTTCACGAACGGCCTCCTGGGGCGCGGTGGGCCGTGACGGGACATGGCGGCACGGTGCGGAGGTTTATCAATCTACGCCCCTGACCTCGCCCACACGCTCTGGGTCTGCAAACATGCAGTATTTTCTCAGGCAGTCTCTCATGCAGATATTAACTTGGCTCAACGCTGCTGGGCCGAACATGCAGGGTTTTCTCAGCCAATATTACGATAAGAAATAGATTTTTGGGCTGGGGAGATGCAATGACCTGGCCATAGTTTTGTTGTAAGACCCTCTAACACCCTACACAGGAAAACAAATTAAAATGTCACTTAAGAAAAGCATTAAGCGTGCAATAATATTATTGTTTCAGCTCACCGGTAAGTTGAAGAACAATTCTGAACTTTGCTAACTTAAGTTGTGAGAAATATTATAATCATTATGTGGCCTAACACATAAGGCAATTTAGGAATCACTGCTTAGGCTTCGAGATCTGACGAGATTGGGCGCATTCAATCAGGTTTGATTGTGAATTTGGCCTATTACTTTAAAAGAAAAAAAAATCGTATAGCTGCTACACGTCAACCTGCGTATTTGCTCGGTACGAGGGGACCCCCCCCACCCCAACCAGTTTTGTCTGCAGCGCTCGTGCCGGCGAACACCGGCGCCACTCACTCACCAGCGCCGGGATGTTCTGGTCGGGCCAGAAGGCCTCGGGTACGGGCCAGTGGCCGATGGGGACTCCCGTCTTGGGGTTGGGCCTCACGTAGATGAGGCGGTGGCAACTGTGCCAGGGCAGCGGGGAGCACGAGGCTGTGGTACGCAACAAGTCTGCTCCGCCATCTGCACAAAAGACAAACACAAAGATCCTCCATATAGCCCTAGCAGACTGTTGGGGCAAGCGCTGTTAGCGAGCACCTATGAAGGCTGGTACGGCACACGAGGGAGTAGGTGGCCAACACCACGCACGACTGCCTTTGTCTCCAGTGGTGATGTTTACACACCGCACCAGGTACTCATTTGTGGCCGAGTCAACCTAGGGGAGGTCCAGGACCAGTTCAGATGATCGTCACCGGTGTTGGCCGTGAGCGGGAATCGAACTCGGGTTGCCAGGTTCGTAGCACAGCATGCAAACCGCGACACCACACACACGCAAGTATGTATGTGTACACACACACGTATGCATGTTAGCACACACACACAGGCAAGAACTATTGGCGAGTACCAATGAAGACTGGTAAGGCACATGAGAGGGGGCGGTGCGGGTAGCACCACGCCGAGCTGATGTTTACATGTCGTGCCGATTTGACCTAGAGCAGGTCCATGACTGGTTCCGATATCACTTGCAGCTCACGTTAGCCAAGATCGAGAATCGGGACCCAGGCTCCTTAAAGAGACCTCTCGTACACGAAACACTACAAAACGCCGATATAACAAAATTAGAATTGGTAGAGACAAAAAAAGCCATATTTTATTGTTAAATTCATTGCTCGCAAGAGCTTATGGGAAGTGGCGACGGGAGCCCGCGCTGCTCGCGGATGGGGCGGGGGAGGAGGAGAGGTGTGTGCCAAGAGGCGAGGCGGTATACGTACCCTCGGACACGGGAGGTGGGTCCGGCCCGACCTTCTCAAAGTGAATGACCACGCCGCTCTGCACCTTCTGCACCAGCGACTCCAAACACTGGTTCAGCATCCGCTGGGTTCGCACGCAGTACGAGCGGCCTGCGTCCACCGTAACAAACGAAGCATTCCTAATTATAATGGCGGCGATGGTGGCTGCGGTGGTGGTTATGTCGATGATGGTGATGACGGCGAAGGTGATGACGGCGAAGGTGATGACGGTGCTGACGGTGCTGACGGTGATGACGATCGTCATGGCGACAGCGATGACGACGATCGCGATGGCGGCGGCGACGTCAGCGGCACGCACCCCCGGTGACGTCGCACATGGGCGTGATGGGCGAGTCGTCGAGCGGCACGCTGCCCAGCTGCTCGGGCTCGCTCGCCGTGCTGCCAGGCTGGCGCAGCACCAGCGCAAACAGACGCTCGTCCCAGCGGAACGGCTCCTTCGTCAGCTCGCTGCCTGGCAGCGGCGATGACAGCGGCAACTGGAGCTGTCAGACGGACACACGGGAGGGAAGGGTTTTTGTTTGAGGTGCGGCGACTCGGGCAGACAGGCGGACACGAACGTATTACCACTAGACACACATGAATAACATCCGGAAATACGAACGCAACGTTGCGATGACTTCGTAATGCTTTCCAACCTAGGTTGAACGTGTTTATGCATCAGCCAATAATGACATCATGGGATCTTTAACGTCCACTTGTCAAGCGGACAGCTATTTTATGGTGAAAGCACCTGAGGAAATAACCATGGCGGCGTGCCGGATTGGAACTGCAAACCTCTTCAACCAGCGGCAAATGCTCTACCACCCCCCCGATACATTGCTGGCTTGCCGAGGAAGGATGATAATGCCAAGGTGCAATATTTACGAGCCATACATACCTCATCTTGTACGCTTGAGCCGTTACTCAACTTGCTCCCGTCCGTTATCGTGATGACGATCGCAGGCTCCAGGAAAAACGGATTGCGTCCCTACACACAGAAACGCGCGCCAACGAACGCACGAAAACAGTTTAGCACGTAGGCTTTCGCGACCAATATTAAGCATGGTAAAGGTTTTTGGGTTATATCGCGTGAGTATAAATGTGTCGTAACCCTCCACCACCCGACACAGCCAATTAGTAAGGGATTTGTCACAAACAAATGCCAATTCGTTACTACTTCAATCCACCGGTGTGTTATTAAGTAATGCACCATACAACTGTATTCCCTATAAAGCAAAACACATGCCAATTAGAGAGTAAATCCACAACATTTACAATTTGAGTAGTACGACGTTTCGCTGGTAATAACATCCAGCATCATCGGGCGATTTGCCAGAATAGTGAAGCAATCCACCTGCTTCATGACACGAAAACACCCCAGTAATGCATGGCGGTCACTCACCCAAGCACTATCCTGGCTCAAACGTTTCTGAGATCGGAGGAGATTTGAGTGCGTTGTGGATAATTTGGTCTTCAGCTCTAATTGCTTAAATGGATACAAAACTCTGAAGCCATATTGAGAAGAAAAAAAACCCTACAAGCTAAATATTAAGAAATAAAAAACCACATGAGCAGCATAAAGTTATATATACGAATTAACTTGAGAAATAACACAGGAACAATAGGGCATAGTCTTAAATGGCGTGACTAAACCAGACAATAGGATAGTGCGTATCTCGGCATATTGACGGTGGCGGGTAACCGTGTTAAATTCTTGAGACGAACCACAGGGACATTAGGGCATGTCTTAAATGTCAAGGGCTTAACAGTGGCGTAAATAAACCACCAGACACAATAGGCCAGTGCATATCTCAGCAGATTGACAGAGGCGGGTAACCGTGCTATTAAAGCGGTTTCAACGGAGCAAACTGCAGTTAAATTTCTATTTAAAGCTTTCGTGACTGCAGGGATTCATCTTCTTGGTTCTTTCGGTAAAGTCACGTAGAAGGGAAATAATAAAATAATAAAAATAAAACATTACAAAATACAATTCTCACGACGTTTCGGCCACAACGCAAGCAGCCGTCCCCCTTCACCTGAGGACGACTGCTTGCGTTATGGCCGAGACGTCGTGAGAATTATTTTGTTATGTTTAATTTTTATTATTTTATTAGTTCCCTTCTACGTGACTTTACCGAAAGAACCAAGAAGACAAACTGCAGTTGTCATTTGAAATAAGAGACCTCCGGTGGCTCAGGAGTCAGAGATACTGAGATGGCATCACTGACATCCTAGGGGGGGGGGGGTTTGAATCCAGCTTGCAGCCACCCGCGATTAAACCAGGTTCTCAAGTGCAGCGCGGGTTGATGGTCTCGTTCCCATTCCTACGAGATAGGTCTTGGCAGTTGTACTGTACCGCTCTTCAACTTGAAGTGAAACGTCCGACAATGCCGAACACGCAGCACAACCCCAACATATATCACACAGCCAGGCAGTCGTATTACTCGAAGCAACGTCACTCGTTACGTAGGCTAGCTTCGCAGCAGCTTGTTACGCACTACGATTTCAAGTAAATACGAATATCTGCGCATTCATTAAACGTAAATCATAAAGCGCATATCTACACAGGGACACGAAGCGGTAGTTCTTTGATCTGTCGGCATTTGTTCGCTCTACTTCACAATCCAGCAGCCCAACCACAGCGCCGGACGTCAGTGGCTGTGGTTGGACCTCCGGTCGGCGTCCCGGCGGCCCCTCGCACCTGCCCGTAGTTGTCGATGCCGGAGACGAGGCGGTTGAGGTTGAGGAGGTCGAAGGCGGATTTGAGCGCCTGTCCCAGCGTGGTGAGACCCGTGGCCTGCAGGTTCTTGAGCTCGCTCATGAACGTCGCGTGGTTCTCCTTCCAGCCGGCCTGCACAAGACCACCGTTGCCATTACCACCATGCTAAAGTGCCACGAGCAGCACTCGCCATTGCCACAGCACTCAACATCACCACCCAACATTACCAGCAGAGATCAGCGTTAGCTGGGTGTAGGTGCGACACGCCTTTAATCCAGCACTGTGGAGGCGAGGGTTGGTAGATCGCACAAATGTTGCAGAACTCCTTTCCCATGGCAGTCGAAGTGCCATACCCTGGCTCGCCACAAGCTAGTACAGCAAACATGTGGACTCCCATCCATTTCGTCTGCATGGGATAGTGTATTCCCCTCGCACGCGTTCGTTGTCTCCAGGTCTTGTAAACACGTATTAATTGGCCTCTCACCGAGTGATCGTTGACTTGGGGGCTTCGATTGAAAGCCTTGGTGACTGTCGTGGAGTGCATGGTGGAGAGTAGAGTGAGACGGGAGAAGCAGGAGAGTGCGTGACAGAGAGTAGAGTGAGATGAGATAAGAAAGGTAGGCAGGGGCGAGTCCGTAGAGGATGTTGACGACTTGTGTTGCGGGACTGTATTGAGAGGCAGTGGAAGGTTGAGAGTGTTGGACTGTTGTGTGATGTGGTCGCATTTTTCCATGCGAGTAAGTAGCCTGGCAGTGGCAGTATGTATTGGTTAAAGTTCAACTTGACACTCGTGACAGATTCGAGTTGTACGTTTCCGAATCACATGCTTTAAAATTACATATGCAAATTATATACCAATCTGACGCCAATGTCACATTTAGGCTAACTAAGCAAACAAATGGACAAACGAGAAAGAAAAACAAGCAGTGATACAAACCGGGACGGCAAACACCAAGCACGGAATAAATCCTGGAATGCATTCGTGACTCCCCACCCCCATCATGATAATTGATCAAACCGCTGGGAACGGTGAATCGTTGTGTGCACAGTGATCGCCAACACGCGTTATCACCCACGAGGAGTTCATCGTGACCACCACTCAACATAATCCACGAATGCCACGACCCACACTTTCCATGGCCATAATTTTCAAGTCGGCCTCTGCACCTTAATTATATTACAGATATGGTTTTCGCAAAAAAGCAATTAACTGGCAAACTTACCACATGGCTCCCTTACACCAATGTTCAGGTCTATATAAATTTGGCCCAACATTAAATAAGTTCACTGATTAAATTATATTGTGTAAGTGATTTATTAAAACTCAAGTGAACAGTGACCAAATGTTAGTTTAATATGTATGAAAACCTGTCAGCGAGCCTTGCTTACGAAGAGCAGCGCTGGCAATAACAGTTTTTAAGAGAACATCACTTGAAAAAATGATTGGTAATCTGCTCCACCCGTTCCAATGCATTCACACGTTTTTTGCGTGCACATTTATTTCTCCAGTTCAACCCCCGAACACGTTGAGAAGGATCCCTTGAGGTCCCCCCCCCTCTACCCTGAGTGAGATCGGGCGAGCCGTCAAGGAACAACTTCTTGTCGTGTGCGTTAATCAGGCGACGCAAGCGTTAAGACAGAGTCGTCGTTCCCTGGCTCATTAAGAGGAGTAGGATGCCGTGGACACAATCATACCCACCGATCCAAGACCCAGACACAAGCCCGACTCGTGCCAAGCCACCCTTGCTCAACCATATTCGGAGATTAAGTTACGTTGACCGAATTTACCAACTCAGCCCAGAGCCAAACAGCGGCGGCTAGGATATGCGAGACACACAAATCGAGACGCGGGGATTTGCCAGGAGACAAATCTGAGAAGCAGCTATCGCATTTAAACATGGTCATTATTACTATTAATGGGGAAAAGCAGTGGCACAGTGGCGCATTGGTTCACGCACTGAATATTAATGTAACAGCCAGAGTGCTACCCAGCCACGGCCAACATTAATGGCGCGTGATATCCGAACCAGTCCTGGGCCACCCCTCCTCTTCACCAACCTATGAAGTATGGTCAAACAGACTATCATCGACATTCCAGGCTTTCATCCAGTATCCAGCAGTGGAACAACAAAGGGTTGTTAGTATTATCAAACAATTGAATCGTCACGATTTAGGTTTGTTATTTGCCTAGGATTGATATTTTAATGTCATTGTGGTGCGTGTGAAATATCAGTCCGTAAAAACCTGCTTCACTGCAGGTAGATATTTATTCTGGGTTTTTCACAACAAGTGTCCACACAAAAGCATGCAGAGGTGGATGACCCGATTGCAGATAGGACCACTGAAATCATCTCATACGGCGGAGGTGCTTGAAGGATCGGGAGTCTAACTGTATTTGGGAGCAGGCCGTGTGCACGACATCGCCACCGGTCACTGTTCAAGCTGTCCTACTTCCACCATGTCTCCGTCAACCACGAAGGGACTGTAAGAGGTTGGTAAATGTTAATCTCCCATGTAGTCTCCCAATGCAAGTAATAACCAGGCTCATGCCGCGATGGTTTTCGGGATTTTATGACATTTAAATAATTCAGGACGATTTGGCCAGAGACTAAAGAAAACGACAGCATCTGCACTGGCTGTGCACGCACGAGACAAGGATGGATGATATTTTACAACTCTCGTACGCTATATTCTACGATTTAGAAACCACACATCGTACAAGATACTTTTTCAAGATTCGTGGGGTGCGGATGGCGGCAATGCCACACACGTTAATTTAGCCTGCGAGGAAAGCAACTGCAACCGCTGTTACAATTGCTTACGTTACATTTCCACGTAATGCGTGCAATTAACGCTCACCAGACGCGCAAGATTACGCGGCTTCTCCTTAACGGCCGTGCGCGTCATTTAGAGCCGCAAATGCTCGTGGAACAGCAGCTGCATCTTTTGAAACGGCAAAAATGTTCAACGCTCACGCGGAAACCGTTCTACGATTCCGCACGTGTGCGGAGACACAAGCGCCTTCGGCTAGTTACGAGGTTTAAAAAAAAAAAATTTATTACAAGAGATATGGGATTTTAACAACACGGAGGACAGGGAATTAAACCATATGGAGAACTTCGCTCGATGTGCCAGCGAGCGCATTTTGTAAGGGATACGTTACTTGTCCCCGCGATACAACAATCCAGATTTAAGATTTCCTTGTAAATTCAATCTGCACTTACTGGTAACGCTAACCATCCTATTATATTCCCACTCCTAATTCGGCATTGGTCTTTGTGGATGACGGAGACCAGGTGGAAGTAGGACAGCTTGAGCAACGATCGGTGGCTCTGTCACGCACGCGGCCTGCTCCCAAATACGGTTAGACTCCCAATCCATCGAGAACCCCAACCGCATGAGATGATTTCAGAAGCCCATCTGCAATCGGGTCATCCACCTCTGCATGCATCTATGTCGACACACATTGTGCAAAATCCAGAGTAAATATCGACCTTTAGTGAAGCAGATTTTTATGGACTGATATTTTACTTGATTCAGCTTAGCCGAGCGAGGACAATTTCAGTAAAAAAAATTTCATATCAAATGCAGAAACCACATTTTAAGCACATGAAGTTTCTTTGAGCACTTTTCAATTTTTGCTCAATTTTTTTTCTCATTGTAAGAGCAAGTAATATAAAACACACATTAGCAAGGAATGCCGAACTAAGTCAAGATTATTTAAGGACAGTACCACATCGGAATGTTTAACCAACTCCTTTTTGCAGATATTTATTTTACGATGGAGGAAACCAAAGTGCCCAAATTTGGCATATGTGAACCATGACATCAGCACAACGGCTTATTTATTTCGAATTACTTCAGCGGATCCATCGGATGTCCACTATGAAGCCGACTACTGTTTTACGATTAACACGTGCTGTAATAACCAGGGCGGACTGTTGGATTGCAACTACAAAGCTCTCTGCAACAAGTCACCACCCGAGCGAGCAACAAAGGACCAAAACCACGCGCGCGTCAGATGCGTTGGTGTGCGCACGGTCGGGTCGATCTCAGGTCGAGGCTAAATACAGATGCTTCATCTCAGTTTCGTCCCCGAGGGGAAGACACGAGACAGTCCCGGCAACAACAAAAACACAGAGTTCCAAATAAACAAGGAAGAATAAAGGACGAGGTCACTAAAAGCGAACGTGAAATTATACGACCAAAAAAAACCACAGCTGACTTGCACATTTTCTTTCTTCTCTCGGTCTCGACCCCCACACTGCTCCCCATTAGATTTGTTTCAAGCAGCCACCCGTGTGGTAATTAGCATTCTGCGTAGTGGTCAATGGTTAGTTCTGTGAGCTCGTTACGAAAGGACAGCAACTTAGGTGGCTACATATTTCTCAAACATGTTACAACAAACGTCTTTAGCAACATATATACGAAGACAATCTTGATAATCGAAGGTGCGGGGGAAGGACAAAACACCATCACAAAGTCTAACATTGCTTTAGGCTCAAAACAACAATAAAACACTTTCAAAAACAATCTGTGGAGGCCTGTAATGATTTACAAATATAAATTACCACATTCTCTAGAGTCTAGATTGTAAGATACACTTTCTCTTGTATTTTTAAGGAAAAGTTGGACCTGCATCTTATAATTTGTTGTATGTGTGTGACCAGATTTGTGTAACTTCAATTGACGGACACAAGTTTTGACGAGTATTTTGTTTTTACAAAGTGTCTTATACACTAATCCACAATATGGCAATTCAAGTTCTACAGGCACCTTGCCACCAATGTGACAATTCAAAAAGTCACGATTCAACTGAAGAATAATTCGTCTCTCTTTACCGGTTAATTTACAATGTTATTCATGTTTGCTGCATCTGCACAGCTGTTTACTCCACTCGTCTAAATATAACATTCGCGTATAACTTACATAAAACGCAAGTAGTTATTCTCACACGTGATTAAATTGAATGTATGAGTGTAAGAATCCATTTTAATTGAGGAATCAACGCATCATTCTAAGTCTACAGTTATGTTATCCTAGCGAGTGTTAAATTAATATAATAAACCACCGCCCCCCTCCCCCCAACATCGTCAAATAGAATTCCCATTCCACGCTCAAGTTTGTCAACC